CTGTCCTGTTGTTAGGGAGGGAGACCAACGCTCCTTCCTGGGAAAATATGCCCGCCCATTTAACCCGCTTACTCCTCACTCCGCTGCTTTGAAAACAGAGGTATACATTTTCTACCATGAAGTCCACTCAAGGCATCATTTCGTGAGTTCTGGGACATGTCTGCAATCGTGTAACGTCCACCACAGTCACGATGTAGAACGTTCTCACTACGCAAACCTCCCCTCTCGCCCCTTGGCGGTGAGTCCCCTCTTGCTCACCCGGGCCCCTGGCGGCCACTGGTCGACCTCCTCTCACTGGAGCTTTGCCTTTTCTGGGGATTTCCCTTGGACAGGAGCAGACAATCATGACCTTTGGCCTCTGGCTTCTTTCCCTCACCCTCATGTTTGTGAGGTGCTTCTGAGTGTGTGTGCTGGCAGTTCCTTCCTTTTTCCTGCCCAGGAGCATTGCAGAACGCATGTGGGTGGCCCAGTGTGAGGAGCCTGGCAGGGGACACCGGGGTGTCCCTGGTTTTTGGCTATTTTCTTCTTCCCCTCCTTCTGCTCCTCCTGGACGTCCTCTTCCTTCTCCTCCTCCTCGTGGTCTTCACCTTCATCCTCGTGTTCTTCTACTTCTTGATTAATTTGTATAAATTTGCTATGCACATTATCGTAAGACGTTTTGTGTAGGGACCTGCGTTCATTTCTTGGTGGCAAACACCCAGATATGGAGTTTCTGGGTTACATGGTCAGGGCTCATCCTTTCGAAAATGATTCCTGCGTGTTCTCACCTTACCACCCTCGGGCGTGGGGGGAGGGCGTCGGGGGGGATGAGAGGGTGAGCTGTTGGCGGGGGAGCCTGCGGTGCCCCGGGTCTCGGCCTCCCATCTATCTTCAAGGATCCCGGCGTCTTGGGCACGTTGCTTCGCCTCCCCTAGGTTGGCCTCGTCTTACTCATGTGTGCAAAGGAAAGAGCTTCCCACTCTCCCTGCCTGTCCCAGATGAAGTTCTGGGGACATTCGGCCGAGGGTGAGGGCAGCCTCAGGCCTCTACGCGGGGCCCGGGAGACAGGACGTGGCCTCAGGGAGAGGCCCCCTTGGAGCGCGCCGTTCTCCACAGCCCCCGAGGGCGCGCCCGAAGCCTGTGTCTCCCGGACCTCAGAGGCCCCCTTTGGCCTTGAATGAGGGGCCCAGCTGATGCGGTGCGGGTGCCGGGGCCATCCATTTGCCATAAACCCCTCAGAGAGTGACACTGCGAAAGAGGAGAGAGTTTTTTCAAGGAAGCCAAGGAAAAAGGGTCTCTACCGCAGTTCATGCCTGTGGCCACTCGTGTTTGAGTTAATAAAATTAAAAAATCAGTTCCTCCGTAGGCCTAGCCTTCTTTCCAGTTGTCAACAACCGTGAGTGTTGAATAGTTACCCGATACAGAGCGGTCCCTTCACTGCAGAAAGCTCTATCGCACAGCTGAGAGAGACCCCAAACGCCGCCTTTTGGAAGGCTCAGCACCATGACACCGTCCCTGGTGGGCATGGGAGAAGGATGCGGGCAGCGCCAGCAGCCAGAGGTGTCCCCGAGCGAGCTGTCTGTGGGGTGGACCCTGAGACACGCAGTCCTACCACCTGAGGGTCTGGAGGTAGAAGGTGGGCTCTGCCCCTGGCTGTGGGGGGCCCCTGGAAGGAGGGGCTGCATCACGGGGCACGGTGGGGAAGCGCAGCTGGGTGCACCCGGCGGAAGGAGAAATAGAGGGCGATTGGGAAAGGTAGCGCCCCAGCTCGGAGAAGAGGTGGTGACACCCCTGCGCCAGCCTCTGAAGGACCCTCTACTCCCATCTGTCAGGCCGCTCTGTGCTGTTTCCTGGGTGAGGAGTGGGCGAGAGGAAGGTGCCCAGAGATCTGCGCGACCATCCAGGTCTTCACTACCACAGCCTCCGGGGTCCTGCCCACCCCCGACTTGGCTCCTCTTCCCTCTCCCCTTTCCCTCTGTCTCTGCCTCTCTGCCTGCGTCTCTGCCTGTCTGTCCTTCTCTCCTCCAAACAAAATCCCTGGAGGCCCGAGGGGGACACTCTGACGGGTGGCCCGTGCCCTCTCCCTCGGGGCTTCGTCCGCCTGCGGCACCTCAAGCTGGGCTGACACGTATATGCCACTGAGAGTGCCGCCCAGGACAGGGGTTTTCAAAGGAGTCGCCTCCAGTGAGAGGCTGCCCGATGATGCCAACGCCTGTTTGCCTGACCCAGCGTCAAAGGACCTGACCAGCCCTTGGGAGCTGCTTCAGGCCCTGTTACAATAGCAGGTGCTTGATGGACAATCTATAGTGTCCCCTCCAACGAGGAGGGAAGGGGCCCTGGTTTGCTGGGCCTGACCCAGAGGGAAGCAGGACCGGGCCGGTCACATGCCCTCATCAAAGACGCACATGGGAACCTACTTCTCTCCCAGTTTAGATCGATGGGACCACAAAGTCAGAAAAAGGTGAGGGATTCTGGAAAGATCTTACGTGTCCCATGCACTAGTCTGACCGTCTTCGAAATTGCAATCGGGGGCCCCGATGTGCAAGGCTGGCTTGATCAAGAGCCCACTGGGCAACATCTGGCCTAAGAAACAGGGTTGCGCACACGCCCATTGCTCCTTCCTTCTCCCGAGGCAAGTGCGCAAGCAGTGGCGGCATGCGGGCTGCTGCCTTCCAAGGGGCCCTGGCCGGTGCCCAAATGTCCGACAGGCCACCAGCGGCCGACAGCTACCTCAGGCCTCATGGCCGCATGGCCATCCATTGCTCAGGCGAGCTGGGCAAGAACATTCCCCCAGACCTCTGGACCCCTCTGTCACATGGGCCCGTTCTCTGTCCCGTGGCGCTCCCGCCTCCTCCCAGCACCAGCCACCCAGCCTCCTGCCTCCACAAGATCGCCGACCAGGGCGTCATGGGGGCCCAAATCACAGGACACCTCCTGAAGACAGAGGGAGCAGAGAGGAGGAGGATGCCGGTCTGGTGTCAAGGCACGGACAGTGGCAGAGCTGGAAGGGCAGGTCAAGCAGAAGGGGCGAAGTGCAGGAGGCTCCGAGGGCCCGAGTAGCCGCATGCAGGAGCCGCGTGACTCCTGGGGCTCGCAGGGCTGCGGGGAGGGCGCCGGGGGCCGCAGGACGCCCGGCCCTGAGCCAGCCTGTGGGGCTTCGGCTCCTGAAGGCAGGGCGTGAAATGGCCACATCAGCAGGCGGAAGCGGCGCCTAGACAATGGCGTGGCAAGCGGACTGTGGTCCGGGGAGAGCCTGGAACCTGGAGAAGGTGGAGTCCAAGGCTGTGGCCGCACTTAGGGGGAGGGAGGATGGTGGCAGGAGCCAGATTGGGGCAGAGACGGAGGTCCGAGGGGACCATTGTGCAGCCGGCAGCGAGCAAACAGCAGGCCAGGCGGCCTGGGGACGGCCAGGGCTGATCCTAGAAGTCTTTTCTTTTCAAAGACTTTATGTATTATTTGTTTTTGGCGAGCTGAGCAGGGGAGTAGAAAGGAAGAGAAATAATAGCATGAGGTTTTCTCTCACTTGCTACCCTGAGGGATCCCGCCCACCGCCCAGGCATTGTCCTGACCGGGAATCCAAGCAGCGACCCTTTGGTTTGCAGGGCACGCTCAGTGCCCTGAGACACAGCAGCCTGGGCTGATCCCAGAAACCTGGAACTGAGAGACGCAGACCAGCTGTCCTGTGTGCCAGATGACGGAGGGCCTGAGAGAGTGTGTCCCCTGACAGATGTGACACCCGTGGAGAAGCAGTCCCAGAAGGCGCTCTGCAGGCCCTCCAGGCTAAGGGACAGGTCGTGGGAGGAGACCCAGAGGGAGCTACAGGGGAGGCAGGAGGGAAACCAGGAGGGCGGCCTCTGGGGATGATGGGGCAGGCGAAGGATTGAGTGGACAGGGGGCCCCCTTCGCCTGGGGAGGTAGATACCTGGCTTGAGAGCGGCCCCGGGCCGGCGAGGGCTGGCCAGCCAGCAGTCCCTGCCTGTGACAGCAAAGGAGCGGGCCAGGGAAGTTGGAGATGTTCCTTCCTCAGCCTGAGCGGGGGAGAGGTCCGGGAAACAGGCCACGTCTGGCTGCGGCTGGGGACATTTTCAGACCGGAAAGCAGGAGAGAAGAATCCGGGAAAGTGCACAGTGGCCCCACGTACCTGAACTGACCGAGGGCTGCGGCCAGAGCAGGTGAATAGGCCTGGGCATCCTCCACAGAACCGGCTGTGCAGGTAAGACTGCGGACCCAGCGGTGACTGTTCCTCCCTCGACCAGCCTGACCTGAGGACCCTCGGGTTGGGTTGCGGGGCCTGGAACGAGGACTCAGTGCTGATCAGTGGTGCTGAGAGCGAAGCAGAGACTCACAGCAGCCAGGACTCAGGGGGGAGAGGTCTTCGATTCCTTTAGGGTGGGTCTCCCATGATTCCTTCTCTGCCTCCCAGGAAGGGGGTCCCACAATTCTAATTTATTTTAAGGTTCTTTCGGTGAAGCGGAGATCAGGCAGCATCTTCTCCACAGGCGCATTCTTGATTTCTAGGATTTAACGCTTTTCCAAAAGCAGAAACCACCAGTTTAGACAGGGTCTCAGCCCTTTATCTTTGTTCTTTATCTTATCCCTGGGGCACCTCTGGAATGCCCTCTTTCCTGACAATCTGCTGCCTCAACGTGGCAGGACCCCGATCCTGAGGCGGCCACAGTGGGGAGAGGGACGCAGGACGGACGCCTGGCTCCTTCCTCTCTCTGGACCTCTCACTTCTCTTGAGCAACCCTGGCGAAACTCCCTGATGGGCCCCGGCATGATCAGGATGCTGTCAAGGATATGGAGAAACCATTTCTTCATGGCGCACACGGGGCCGGCCAAGCCCCCAGTCCAGCGAGCCCCGTGAGGCAACAGCGGGGCTGAGGCAAGCTCCCGCCCAGCCCAGCGCGGGCAGGAGGCCGGTGCCGGGGCGGGGCAGGAAGGCCCAAGGTCGGGCCCTTGCAACACTGTCGGGCATAAAGGAGGGTTCCACAGGCTAGGGTGACGCAGACAAGTGGACCATGGAGGCCCAGAGGGATGGCCGCTCCTGGGGGCGCTGGTCACTGATGCTCCTGCTTCTGGGCCTGGCGACGCCGCCAGCCACTGCCCAGGCCCTCAGCTACAACGAGGCCGTGCTCCGTGCCGTGGAGGCCTTCAACCAGCGGTCCTCGGAGGCTAGTCTCTACCGCCTCCTGCAGCTGGACTCGCAGCCGCCCAGTGCAGTGAGTGGGGCAGGGGACTCGGGAGGGAGGCTCTGGGCCAGCCAGGGGCCACGCTGCCACCCTGTGTGCTCATGCAGGGCCTGGGCTCGGGATGACACTCCTCCCTTTCCGTGGGACCCCACCTCTTCCAAGAGACGTTCCCCAGTGGTGTTCCCTCCCTGATCACAGCCTCCTGCCTTAGAGCCTATGGTGTGCGAGGTGGTACCCCCTCCACACCCGCATTGTGGCCTCAGGGACTGCTGGGAGTCCCGGGAACAGGAGTGGGGCCACTGGGTCTGGGACGTGACTTCCATGTTTCCAGTTGATCCTGTTCCTGCTCGTCTCTCACACAGAGCATGGGCTTTGCTGAGCCTTGAGATTCCTGTGACTCTGTCATTCCTGCAAGAGCCCCCTGACGTCTCTCTGGGTCCAGAGCTTGTCTGAGGTTTACCCTGCGCTCTGTGTGCTTGGCAGGGGCAGGGATGGGCCCTGTCCTGCTCCCCTCTGTGACCCACACCCCACCCAGTCATGGACACAGTAGGGGCTTGTCAAATGGCGGACACGGGGAGACAGGACGAAGAAGCCTGGCAGGTACCCAGCCCGGTCTCCCCACTGTCTCTTCCGTCAGGACGAGGACCCAAACAGCCCGAAGCCTGTGAGCTTCACGGTGAAGGAGACTGTGTGCCCCAGGACGACGCAGCTGCCGCCCGAGCAGTGTGCCTTCCAGGAGAACGGGGTGAGGCTGGGGCCCGGGGCCGACGGGGCCTCCCCTGACGCTGATCCATAGGCGTCCACGGAACCGTTCCCGTCACCGGGGTGAGGCTGAACGGTTTAAGCCCAGAGATCCCAGTTTGACCTCAGGCCTCGTCTTTCCAGCTGGTGAAACAGTGTTCGGGGACCGTCACCCTGGACCAGGCCAATGGCCCCTTTGACATCAACTGTGTGAACGTAAGTGGCCCCTTCCCCCACTGTCGGGGCCCGCGGGCGGGGGTGCATGGAGCTTCCTGTGGACCAGTTCACCGTTGCCCCATCCAGGGCAGAGAGAGCCCCTCGTGGCCTGGGCTCCTCCCTCAGCCCGAGCCCCAGGTCCCCAGGACTGGCTCTGCAAGGCCCCGGAGCAGCGGTTGTCCAAGGGCCGTCCTCTCCCGGGAAGGTGGTGGCAGCGCCGGTTGTTAGGCCCGTTGAGACCTGCTGCCTCCCAGTCTGGGGTGGGGCCCAGAACTTTGTATTTCGGCAGCCGTCCCGTAGAGCCTGACCCATGCGGACATCGGAGAGCCAGGGGCTCCAATGATGGGTTTTCAACCCAAGCTCTGGCCTGCATTGCTGGATGGGCTTTGTGACCCTGGGAAGCCACTAGCGATCTAGTCCTCTGCTTCCTCATCTGATTATGGTGTCAGGACTCAACCACGTGTGTGGAGGCGCTACCCAGAGGGTGGAATGTAGTCGTAAGGCTCCGAGAGTGGCCAGGAAGGTTTTGTCGAGGTGGGAAGGGGTTTTGACCCTGCATCCATCATTCACAAGGAGTCTGTTTCTTTCTGGTGCACAGGTGCAGAACGTCAGACGGGGAAAGGTCTTGTGGAGTCTTGGCAAAAAAATTGGTAAAGCGATTGGCAAAGTGTTTCAAAATATTCGCCCGGGAGTCGCTATGAGCGTTCCGTTTGGTTAGCCAGGGCCTTGTGGCTAGGGATGTGTTTTGTCCTGGCTCCACTTTCTGGACTCGGAGAAATAAATTCTTGTGAAAGAAGTCTCCTGAAGCTTCGATTTCACCTGTGTTGCCCTCCCTCACTTCCCTCCTCAGGGTCGGAGCGGTCCGGTGTGTGCCTGCACACCGTGCGCGCTTGTGCGGCACAGCTCTGGCGTCGGTGCGGGCAGCTTTTCCAGTCATGAGGGTGTGGGCGGAAGCAGCAGGGCCAGGGGGTCCAGGACAGCGTCTCCACTCTCAGGCTCCCACAGCCCAACCCCGTGCCACTTCCCCGCCCCCACACCCTCCCATTCCCCCCTACCCCCGCCCCGCTAGTGATTGAGCATCCAGTAGGGACTGAAGGAGATCGACCCCGAGCGCACCCTGCTGCGGATGCTGGTGTGCTATCAGTGCTCACAAGGTGAGGTAGCTTTAATGCCACCTCCCAGAAGCTCTTGTCCACATTCCTTTTTCTTTTTTTTAAACATTAGTTGATTGATTGATTGATATACAGATATATAGGACGGAGATAGAGAGGGAGAGAAACATCCATGTGACTGGGAGACATCGATTGGTTTGGTCTTGACAGAGGTGTGACCAGAACTGAACCTGCAACCCTGCATGTGCCCTGGCCGGCATCAAACCAGCAACCCTTCCACTTACAATGTGATGCCCGACCACCCCAGCCATCCAGCCAGGCTGGGACCACCCTTGGTCTCACGGTTACCCCTCAAAATTGGGAGGAGTGACCACAATGGGCCTGCAACCCAGAGGCATCAGCAAAACACAGCAAAGGGAGTAGCGGAAACTTTTCCGAAGTGTGAAGTCAAGGGGGCTGCAGAGATGTGCCGGGTGGCTCATCCTTGTTGCCCCGCTCCCTGGCCCCGCGACAAGGTACCACTGCAGAGTGTGTGCGGCTGCCCTCACATGTACGCCTGGGAGACTGTGCCCCGTGTTGGGCAGCTGAGGGAGAGTTCCCAGTAGGTGGAGGGGATGGGGCCAGAGTTAGGCCAGAGGCAGAGGACAGGGAGTGGAAGCCTGGGGGCAGTAGGGAAGCACAGTCGGTTCTGGCGCAGGGGAGGCTTTCACTCCAATGGGCCTATTTTTCCTGTGAGGTTTCTTGAGGTCCTCTCTGGAGGTCAGAGCTGCTGGATCAGAGCTGGGCCCTCCTTCCTACTTGCCCCTGGGTGCTGTGCCCTCTGCAGAACATACCGGGACGTGAGGAAACACTATGTGCTGGAGGCCAGAGTGGTCATTCTGTGTCTGGGCCTCCAGGAGGTAACATTGCCCCTGGGATCCCTTCCCATCCTGGTTGACTTACAGCCTGTGGCGCCAACCAGCTGGTAGCTGTTTGACAAATGACCACATTAGGCAAGATGCTGAGAGTGTGTGTGTGTGTGTGTGTGTGTGTGTGTGTGTGTGGCGGGAGAGGGGGATGGGGAATGGGGACTGGGTTGCCAGGACTGAACCCTTCTCAGCCGTGAACAAACCCTGCCCTAGAGGAAGCCGGGGGTGCAACCACGCCCTCCCTTTCGGCCAAAAATCCGGACCCCTGGGCATCTCCTGGACTTTGGGACGCCTGTGTGTTCTGTGAAGGAGGGTAAGTCCGAGAATTCCCACGTCTGCAGTGAAGCCCACACTGACTTCACAGACAAGGATTGGAAGTCGAGGGCCTTGTCCCTGGCCCATGATGGTGTCTCCTCAGCAAGGCCTTGGCCCCCCTGCCCTGGGACTGTCAGCGCCGCCCTAGCAGTGGGTGGCAGGTGGCGGCCGCCCCAGGGCTCCTCCTTTTCCCCACCTTCAGAGCCTTCTGTACGTTCAGCTCCTCTGAGATCAGGCTCCGCTGTCCCGGAGTTGGGGAGGGGGATGAATGTGCCTTCCTGGGAAAATATGCCCGCCCATTGCCACCGCTTACTCCTCGCTCTGCTGCTTTAAAAACAGAGGTAAACATTTTCTACCATAAATTCCACTCGTGGCATCATTTCGTGAGTTCTGACACATGTATGCAATTGTGTAACCACAGTCACGATGTAGAACGTTCTCACTACACAAACCTTCCCTCTCGCCCCTTGGCGGTGAGTCCCCTCTTGCTCACCCGGGCCCCTGGTGGCCACTGGTCAACCTCCTCCCACTAGAGCTTCGCCTTTTCGGGGGATTTCCCATGGACAGGAGCAGACAATCATGACCTTTTGCCTCTGGCTTTTTTCCCTCACCCTCATGTTTATGAGGTGCATTGGAGTGTGTGTGCTGGCAGTTCCTTCCTTTTTCCTGCCCAGGAGCATTGCAGAACGCGTGTGGGTGGCCCAGTGTGAGGAGCTTGGCAGGGGACACCGGGGTGTCCCTGGTTGTTGACTATTTTCTTCTTCCCCTCCTCCTGCTCCTCCTGGACGTCCTCTTCCTCCTCATTTGTGGTCTTCACCTTCATCCTCTTGTTCTACTTCTTGAGTAATTTGTATAATTTGTTATGAATATTATCTTAAGAGGTTTTGTGTAGAGACCTGCTTTCATTTCCTGGTGGCAAACACCCAGGGATGGAGTTTCTGGGTTGCATAATCAGAGCTCCCCCTTTTGAAAATGACTCCTGCGTGTTCTCACCTTATCACCGTCGGGCGTGGGGGGAGGGCGTTGAGGGCAAGGAGAGCGTGAGCTGGGGCGGGGGAGCCTGCGGTGCCCTGCGCCTCAGCCTCCCATCTGTCTTCAAGGATCCCGGTGTCTTGGGCAAGTTGCTTTCCTTCCTCTGGGTCTGTCTTGGTTTTAGTCCATGTGAGGAGGAAACAGCCTCAGGGGCCTCCCTGCCTGTTCCAGAGGGTGTTCTTTGGGTGCACGGCGGTGGCGAGGGCCGCCTCTGGCCGCTACTCGCGGCCTGCGCTCTGCGGGCTGGGGCTGCGGTCACGCGGTGCCCGTGAGACAGAATGTGGCCCCGACGGAGAGGGCTCCCTCGGAGCGCCCCATCTCTCCCCAGCCCCCGGGGCCTGGCCGCAGCCAGTGTCGGCCAACCCTCGGAGGTTCTTCTTGGCCTGGAGCTGGTGGCCGAGGGCTGCTGTGGTCTGGGGGTCTGAGGCCATCCGTTCCCCATAAACACCTCAGAGGGTGCCGGTACACGGAGGAGGGAAAATTAGCAAGGACACCATAGCAAAACGGTCTCCACCGCAGTCCAACGTGTATGTAGCTCCTTATGTTACAATTAATGAAAGTTAAGGAAACACTTCTTGGGTTAGACTAGCCAAGTTTCAAGCTGCCTACACCCCTGAGTGTTTAAACATTACCATATTGGGGAGCACAGATACAGGGCAGTCCTTTGGCAGAGAAAGTACTACAAGGCAGATGATAGAGACCTCAAACCCCCCATTTGGAACGGTCTGTATCGTTAGACTGTCCCTGTGGGATGAGGCAGCCCCCAAGGTCAGGCGGCTGGCAGAGAAGGATGCGGGCAGCTCCGGCGGGCAGAGGTCTCCCCGAGCGAGCTGCCTGCACTGGAGCCCGCGGGCGGCTGTGGGGTGGACCCTGAGTCACACAGCCCAAGTAGGTGAGGGCTCTGGAGGGAAGGAGAAGGGGGGCTCCACCCGTGGCTGTGAGCCGGCTGAGGAGGGAGGGGCTGCAGCGCAGGGCAGGGTGGGGAAGCGCAGCTGGCTGCACCAGGCACGAGGAGAAATAGAGGGCGACTGGGAACGGTGGCCCCCCAGCTCGGGGAGGAGGCGGTGACACCCCCTTGCGCCAATCTCTGCAGGGCCTTCTGCTCCCATAGGTTGGGCCGTTCTGTGCTGTTTCCTGGGTGAGAGGTGGGTGAGGGGACGGTGCCCGGGGATCTGCGCCACTATCCAGGGCCTGGCGACCGCGGCCCCCGCATTTCTGCCCACCCCAGACCTGGCTCTTCTTCCCTCTCCCTTTTCCTTGTCTGTCTCTGCCTCTTTGCCTGCGTCTCTGCCTGTCGGTCGTTCTCTCCTCCGAACAAAATCCCTGGAGGCCCGAGGGGGACACTTTGACAGCGTGCTCGTCCCCTCTCCCTTGGGGCTTCGTCCACCTGCGGCACCTCGAGCTGGGCTGACACGCACGTGCCGCTGAGAGTGGTGCCCAGGACTTGGGTTTTCAAAGGAGTCGCCGCCAGTGAGAGGCTGCCCGATGATGCCAACGCCTGTTTGCCTGACCCAGCGTCAAAGGACCCGACCAGCCCTTGGGAGCTGCTTCTGGCCTTGTTATAATAGCGGCTGCTTGATGGAGAATCTAGAGTGTCCCCTCCAACCAGGAGGGAACGGGCCCTAATTTGTGGGCCTGACCCAGAGGGAAGCAGGGCAGGGCAGCGCATGCCCTCGTCTAAAGATCAACATGGGAACCCACTTCTCTCCCAGCTTGGCTCCTTCAGGACCCTGAGCCAGAAAAAAGGCGAGGGATCCCGGAAAGATCTTAGGGGTCCCATGTCCTGATCTGACTGCCCTCAAAACCACTGTCAGGGGCCCCGATGTGCAAGGCCGGCTTGATCAAGAGCCCACTGGGGCAACATCGGGCCTAAGAAACAGGGTTGCGCACACGCCCATTGCTCCTTCCTTCTCCCGAGGCCGAGTGCGCAAGCAGCGGCAGTTTTCAAATCACCTTCCAAGGGGCCCTGGCAGGCGCCCAAGGGCCGCACAGGCCACCAGAGGCCCACAGCTACCTCAGGCCTCATGGCCACATGGCCATTCTAGCTCAGGAGAGCTGGGCGAGAACATTTCTCCAGGCCTCTGGACCCCTCTGTCACAGGGGCCCGTTCTCTGTCCCGTGGTGCTCCCTGCTCCTCCCAGCACCAGCCACCCAGCCGCGTGTCCCCACAAGAGCACCGACCAGGGCGTCATGGGGGCCCAAATCACAGGACACCTCCTGAAGGCAGTGGGAGCGGAGAGGAGGAGCATGCTGGTCTGGTGTCATGGCAGGGACTTGGCACAGCCGGAAGGGCGGGTCAAGCAGAGCGGGCAATGACCAGAAGGCGACGAGGGCCCCCGTGGTGGGCGCATGTTGCTACGGGGGAGGGCACACAGAGCCACCGGACACCAGGCCCTGAGGCCAGCCTGCAGGGCGTGGGCTCCTGAAGGCTGGGCGTCAAATGGCCACATCAGCAGGTTCCAGGGCCCCTGGACAATGGCGTGGCCAGCGGACTGTGGTCTGAGAAGAGCCTGGAACCTGGAGGACATGGCGTTGAGGCCGTGGCAGCATTAGGAGGAGGGAAGGCGGTGGCAGGAGCCACGGCAGCGGCGGTGCCGGAGGCCCGAGGGGGACCTCTGTGCAGCGAGCTAGAGATCCTCGCTTTGGTTTAGACCCCACTCAGTCAGGGGGGATCCAACGGGCCGGTTCAATATCCTTCTGGTGTTGCCGCCGGCGGGCACCCCGCCCGCCCTCTGGAGCCTATACCGCACTCCGTACCAGTTAGATTGCGCTGAAGCCTACTCTTCTGTCTCTGAGGTTACGAGCCTCCTCTCTCGCTGCTGCTCAGTTGTTGGTTCCAGGTGATTTCTCCACCACGTACTGGTAATCCCAGGTCGGTCCTGGGTGGAGGTCAGTGTGACTTCCACTCACTCCACTGCCCTCTTGTCTTTTCTACCTATTTACTATTTATTTTTAGAGAGAGGGGAAGGGCGGGAGAAAGAGTGACAAAAGTATGAATGTGTGGTTGTCTCTCCCACGCTACCCACAGGGGATCCCGCCCACCGCCCAGGCGTGTGCCCTGACCAGGAATCCAAGCAGCGACCCTTTGGTTTGCAGGACACACTCAATGCCCTGAGCCACGCCAGGCAGGACGAACCCCAGAAGCCTTGAACTCAGAGAACGGACCAGATGCCGTCCGCCCCGGTTAACGGAAGGCCTGAGGTAGCGTGTCAGCAGAGAGACGTGACCCATGGGAAGAGAAGAGGACCGGCAAGGCGCTCTGCAGGCCCTCCAGGCTAAGGGAAGGGGCGTGGGAGGAGACCCAGAAGGAGCTACAGGGGAGGCAGGAGGGAAACCAGGAGAGCGGCCTCAGGGGAAGACCGGGCTGCCGAAGGTTTGGGAGGACAGGGGCCCCCTTCGCCTGGGGAGATAACGACCAGGCTTGAGAGCGGCCCCGGGCCGGCGAGGGCTGGCCAGCTGGCAGTGCCCTCCCTGTGGCAGCAAAGGAGCAGGTGAGTGTCGTTGGAGAGGGCCCTTGCTCAGCCTGAGCAGGAGAGAGGTCGGGGCAACAGGCCACATCTAGCGGTGGCTGGACATGTTTACAGACCAAAATTACTAGAGAAGATTCCGGGAGAGGGCACAGTGGTCCCGAGCGCCTGAAGTGACCAAAGGCTGGGGCTAGAGCGGGTGAAGTAGACTTGGCATCCTCCACGGAACTGGCTGTGCAGGTAAGTCTGCAGACCCAGCGGTGACTGTTCTTCCCTCGACCAGCCTGACCTGAGGGCCCTCTGGGTGGGTTGTGGGGCCTGGAAGGAGGACTCAGTGGTGATCACATTGTCACAGGTGGGAACAGGTAACCAGGGTCGTGGTGACTGCAGACAAACATTGAACAGAACATACAGAGTCTATAGCAGAAAGTGAAAGAAAGCAGATAAATGAAGCCACGCAGAACATGGGAGCACCAACTCTGAGCAGAGCAGGGCAGAGCAGAGCCTCACAGCAGCCAGGACTCAGGGGGGAGAGGGCTTCGATTCCTTTAGGGTGGGTCTCCCATGATTCCTTTCCTGGCTCGGGAACGAGGTCCCACAATGCCAATTTATTTTAAGGCTCTTTGAATGAAGCAGGGGTCAGGCAGCATCTTCTGCACAGGCACATTCTTGATTCCCTAGGATTCAACGCTTTTCCAAAAGCAGAAACCACCAGTCGGAGAACAGGGTCTCCGCCCTTTATCCTTCTTCTTTATCTTATCCCTGGGGCACCTCTGGAGTTGGCTCCTTCCTGACTATCTGCTGCCTCAACGTGGCAGGACCCCGATTCCTGGGCCGGCCACAGTGGAGAGAGGGACGCAGGACGGACGCCTGGCTCCTTCCTCTCTCCTGGACCTCTCACCTCTCGGGAGAAACCCCGGGGAAACTCCCTGAGGGGCCCCGGATTGACCAGGATGCTGTCAAGGAGATGGAGAAACCCTTTCTTCGCGGCACACACGGGACCAGCCGAGCCCCCGGTCCAGCGAGCCCCGTGAGGCAACAGCGGGGCTGAGGCAAGTTCCCGCCCAGCCCAGCGCGGGCAGGAGGCCGGTGCCGGGGCGGGGCAGGAAGGCCCAAGGTCGGGCCCTTGCAACACTGTCGGGCATAAAGGAGGGTCCCACAGGCTGGGGGGACGCACATTCAGGGACCATGGAAGCACAGAGGAACCGCGGCTCCTGCGGGCGCTGGTCACTGATGCTCCTGCTGCTGGGCCTGGCGACGCCGCCAGCCACTGCCCAGGCCCTCAGCTACAACGAGGCCGTGCTCCGAGCCGTGGAGGCCTTCAACCAGCGGTCCTCGGAGGCTAGTCTCTACCGCCTCCTGCAGCTGGACTCGCAGCCGCCCAGTGCAGTGAGTGGGGCAGGGGACTCGGGAGGGAGGCTCTGGACCAGCCAGGGGCCACACTGCCACCCTGTGTGCTCATGCAGGGGCTGGGCTCGGGATGGCACTCCTCCCTTTCCGTGGGACCCCACCTCTTCCAGGAGACCTTCCCCAGCTGTGTTCCCTCCCCAATCACAGCCTCCTGCCTATAGTCTATGCTGTGCGAGGAGGTACCCCCTCCACACCCACATGGTGGCCTCAGGGCCTTCTGGGAGTCCCGGGAACAGGAGTGGGGCCACTGGGTCTGGAACGTGACTCCCCTGCTTCCAGCTGTCTCTGCTCCTGCTCGTCTCTCACACGGGCAAGGGCTTTGCTGAGCCCGGAGATTTCCGTGACACTGTCTTTCCTGCAGGAGGCCCCCCTGATGTCCCTCGGGTCCCAGAGCTTGTCCGAGGTCCTCCCTGTGCCCTGTATGTGGGCGGGGGCAGGGATGGGCCCTGACCTCCTCCGTCTGTGCCCCTCACCCCACCCGGTGCAGGGAAATAGCCAGGGCCTGTGTCATGGGGTCTCAGGGAGACAGGACGAAGAAGCCTGGCAGGTACCCAGCCCGGTCTCCCCACTGTCTCTTCCGTCAGGACGAGGACCCAAACAGCCCGAAGCCTGTGAGCTTCACGGTGAAGGAGACTGTGTGCCCCAGGACGACGCAGCTGCCGCCCGAGCAGTGTGCCTTCCAGGAGAACGGGGTGAGGCTGGGGCCCGGGGCCGACGGGGCCTCCCCTGACGCTGATCCATAGGCGTCCACGGAACCGTTCCCTTCACTGGGGTGAGGCTGGACGGTTAAGCCCAGAGATCCCAGTTTGACCTCAGGCCTCGTCTTTCCAGCTGGTGAAACAGTGTTCGGGGACCGTCACCCTGGACCAGGCCAACGACCCCTTTGACATCAACTGTGTGAACGTAAGTGGCCCCTTCCCCATTGTCGGGGTCTGTGTGCGGGGGTGCATGGAGCATCCTATTGACCAGTTCATCGCTGCCCCATCCAGGGCAGAGAGAGCCCTTCGTGCCCTGGGCTCTTCTCGTAGCCTGGACTCCAGTACCCTGGACTGGCTCTGCAAGGCCTCGGAGCCATGATTGTCAAAGTGCGGTTTTCCCCTTGTAACGTTTTGAAAATGCCAGCTCAGACCTGCTGACTCCCAGTCTCGGGGTGGACCCAGCACTTTGTATTTCAGCAGCCTTCCCGTAGAGCCTGACTCCTGCGGACGTTGGAGAGTGATGGGTTTTCAGCCCATGGTCTGCCCTGCGTTGCCGGGATGGGCTGTATTTCCCTGGGAAGCCACTACCCATCTGGGTCCTCTGCTTCCTCATCTATAATGGGTCTCGGGACTCAACCACGTGTTCTGAGAGTTCCTGCCAGAGGGTGGAATGTAGCTGTGAGGCTCCCGGGGTGGCCCCGGGAAAGTGAGGTCTAGTTGGCAAGCGGTCCTGACCCTGGGTCCAAACCCCCGAAGCAACCTCTTTCTTCCTGGTGCACAGGTGCAGAATGTCAGACGTCTCCCAAGAGGCCACCGGCGGGGGAGAGGTCGGCCCAGAAGAGGGGGGAGAGGGGACCGGCCGGGGAGACTTCCCCGCCGGGGGAGGAGGAGATGGGGCTGAATGATCGAAGATATTATTTTCTAAACTTGAGGCCAGGGAAGAGTTTTAACGGTCGGATTTGCCCTGGCTCCAGCTTCTGCTCTATGAAAAATAAAGTCTTGTGAAAGCAATGCCACCAGGCTTCAGTGTCACATGTCTCTCCTTCCCTCACTTACAGCCTCGGGGTCCAGGCTGTTCTGTGTGCGCATGCGCACCGTCCACGCACGCGTTTCGCCAAAACTGAGGCCTGGGTGGGACAGGTGTTCCCTGCAGGACGGTATGGGGGAGGCTGAGAGGACAGGGGGTCTAGGACAGCGTCTCCACTCTCAGTGTCGTCCCCTCCCCCGATACCACATCTCCACCGCCCACCCCCGGCCCTGCCTCGTCCCCTCGCTCCCCACTTCCTCTGTAAGTCTGATGTAGAAACTCAAGGGGATGTAATCTGTGTGCACCTGGCTAGGGATGCTCCGGAGCTGTCCCTGCTCGTGAGGTGGTGACCGTGGAGGGAGGGACCAGGCATCTGTTAAACACTCACAGAGAAGCACTTCACTCTCATGTTTGGCTGGGTTCTAAGGTCACCAGGATCCGATACCCACAAAGTTTCAAGGTCCCTTGAAAATGTCCCCTCTGCTAATCCCTCCACACCGCGGGGTAGCCATCAAGGGCGCCCGCTGCGATCAGCTCTTCACCTGGGTGGTGAGGGACCAGGCGCTGGAGATAAAGGTCTGCCTTTCCCCAGTGGGTGAGCTTCTCGGACTTGCACGTGGTGGTTCTAGGGAAGGAACTGCCGTCTATTGCTCAAGGATGGAGGTGAGGCTCAGTTAAGGCCTCTGGTCTAGTTGCAGTAGAGTGAGTTTTCCCCCAGGAACGCGCTTCCGTGGAGTCGAGTGGAGACTGTGGCTGAGCCCAAAGGCCTGGCTCTGTGACCTGAGCGCTCCAAGGGGAATGTTTGCTCCCCCAGGCACGGCCCAGGAGGGCAGCCTCGGACAGCGTTAATGCCGCCTCCCAGAAGCTCTTGTCCTCATTCTTTATTCTTTTTTTAACATCGATTGATTGATTGATACACAAGAGGAAGAAAGAGAGAGAGAGGTACATCATTGTCACAGAGATACATCGATTTATGATTGTTTGGTTCTCTTCCTTACTACGACCAGGACCGAACCAGCAACCCTGCATGTACCCTGGCCGGCATCAAACCAGCAAGACTTCCACTTGCAATGTGATGCCTGACCACCTCAGCCATCCAGTCAGTTCAGGACCACCCTCGGTCTCAGTTTTACCCCACAAGAAGTGGGAGGAATGACCTCGACATGTCTGCTTCACAAACACATCAAAAAGACACAGCAAAGCAAGTAGCAGAAACCCTTTTCCAAAGTGTGAAGTCAAGGGGGCTGCAGAGATGTGCCGGGTGGCTCATCCTTGCTGCCCCGCTCCCTGGCCCCACGACGAGGTAACACTGCAGAGTGTGTGCAGCTGCCCTCACATGTACGCCTGGGAGACTGTGCCCCGTGTTGGGCAGCTGAGGGAGAGTTCCCAGTGGGTGGAGGGGATGGGGCCAGAGTTAGGCCAGAGGCAGGGGACAGGGAATGGAAGTCTCGGGGGCAGTAGGGAGCCACAGTTGGTTCCGGAGCAGGGGAGGCTTTCGCTCCAATGGGCCTATTTTTCCTGTGAGGTTTCTTGAGGTCCTCTCTGGAGGTCAGAGCTCCTGGATCAGAGCTGGGCCCTCCTTCCTGCTTGCCCCTGGGTGCTGTGTCCTCCACAGAACGTACCGGGACGTGGGGAAACACTATGTGCTGGAGGCCAGAGTGGTCATTCTGTGTCTGGGCCTCCAGGAGGTAACATTGTTTCTGGGGTACCTTCCCATCCTGGTTGAGCTACAGCCTGTGGCGCCAACCAGCTGGTAGCTGTTTGACAAATGCCCACATAAGGCAAGATGCTGCTTGTGTGTGTGTGTGTGTGTGTGTGTGTGTGTGTGTGGCGGGAGAGGGGGATGGGGGGATGGGGACTTGGTTGCCAGGACTGAACTCTTCTCAGCCGTGAACAAACCCTGCCCTAGAGGAAGCCGGGGGTGCAACCACGCCCTCCTTTTCAGCCAAAAATCCGGACACCTGGGCATCTCCTGGACTTTGGGACGCCTGTGTGTTCTGTGAAGGAGGGCAAGTTCGAGAAGTGCCCACGTCTGCAGTGAAGCCCACACTGACTTCACAGACAAGGATTGGAAGTTGAGGGCCTTGTGCCTGGCCCATGACAGTGTCTCCTCAGCAAGGGCTTGGCCCCCCCGGCCCTGGGACCCTCAGTTCGGCCTCCAGCGGTGGGGGACAAGCGGCAGCCGCCCCAGGGCTCCTCCTTTTCCCCACCTTCAGAGTCTTCTGCACGTTCAGCTCCTCTGAGATCAGGCTCCGCTGTCCTGGAGTTGGGGAGGGGGAACAACGCGCCTTCCTGGGAAAATATGCCCGCCCATTGCCACCGCTTACTCCTCACTCCGCTGCTTTGAAAACAGAGGTATCAATTTTATACCCTGAAGTCCACTCAAGGCATCATTTCGTGAGTTCTGGCACATGTATGCAATCGTGTAACGTCCACCACAGTCACGATGTAGAACGTTCTCACTACACAAACCTTCCCTCTCACCCCTTGGCGGTGAGTCCCCTCTTGCTCACCCGGGCGCCTGGTGGCCACTGGTCGACATCCTCTCACTGGAGCTTTGCCTTTTCTGGGGATTTCCCTTGGACAGGAGCAGACAATCATGACCTTTTGCCTCTGGCTTCTTTCCCTCACCCTCATGTTTGTGAGGTGCTTCTGAGTGTGTGTGCTGGCAGTTCCTTCCTTTTTCCTGCCCAGGAGCATTGCAGAACGCGTGTGGGTGGCCCAGTGTGAGGAGCCTGGCAGGGGACACCGGGGTGTCCCTGGTTATTGACTATTTTCTTCTTCTCCTCCTCTTCCTTCTTCATCTTCTTTTCCTTCTCATCCTTTTTCCTCCTCTTAAACTTCCTTTTACTCCTCTTCCTCCCTTCTGTCCTTCTTCTTGATCCTGGTGTTCATTTTATGTTCTTCTTCTTCAGTATTCTCAATATATTTTCAACGTGCATTCTCATATGAGTTTTTGCTTAGAGACCTGCTTTCATTTCTTGATAGTAAACACCCAGGGATGGCTTTTCCAGGTTGCATGGTGTCAGAGCTTATCCTTTTGAAAATGATTTCTGCTTGTTCTTACCCCATCAGGTGCTCTGGGAGGGCGTTGGGGGGGATGAGAGGGTGAGCTGCTGGCTGGAGAGCCTGCGGTGCCCCGGGTCTCGGCCTCCCATCTGTCTTCAAGGATCCCGGTGCCTTGGGCAAGTTGCTTCACCTCCCTTAGGTTGGCCTGGGCTTACTCATGTATGAAAAAGAAAGAGCCTCCCCTCTCCCTGCCTGTCCCAGATGAAGTTCTGGGGACATTCGGCCGAGGGTCAGGGCAGCCTCAGGCCTCTACGCAGGGCCCCCACCCCCCGGGCCGGGGCAGAGGTCACGTGGTGCCCGGGAGACAGGACGTGGCCTCAGGGAGCGGCCCCCTTGGAGCGCCCCGCTCTCCCAGCCCCCGAGGGCGCGCCCAAAACCTGTGTCTCCCGGACCTCAGAGGCCCCCTTTGGCCTTGAATGAGGGGCCCAGGGCTGATGCGGTGCGGGTGCCGGGGCCATCCATTTGCCATAAACCCCTCAGAGAGTGACACTGCGAAGGAGGAGAGAGTTTTTTCAAGGAAGCCAAGGAAAAAGGGTCTCCACCGCAGTTCTTCATGCCTGTGGCCACTCGTGTTTGAGTTAATAACATTAAAAAATCAGTTCCTCAGTAGGACTAGCCTTCTTTCCAGTTGTCAACAACCGTGAGTGTTGAATAGTTACCCGATACAGAGCGGTCCCTTCGCTGCAGAAAGCTCTATCGCGCAGCTGAGAGAGACCCCAAACCCCGCCTTTTGGAAGGCTCAGCACCGTGACACCGTCCCTGGTGGGCGTGGGAGAAGGATGCGGGCAGCGCCAGCAGCCAGAGGTGTCCCCGAGCGAGCTGTCTGTGGGGTGGACCCTGAGACACGTAGTCCTACCACCTGAGGGCTCTGGAGGTAGAAGAAGGTGGGCTCCGCCCCTGGCTGTGGGGGGCCCCTGGAAGGAGGGGCTGCATCACGGGGCAGGGTGGGGAAGCGCAGCTGGCTGTACCCAGTGGGAGGAGAAATAGAGGGAAATTGGGAAAGGTGGCGCCCCAGCTGGGAGAGGAGGTGGTGACACCCCTGCACCAGCCTCTGAAGGACCCTCTGCTCCCATCTGTCGGGCCGCTCTGTGCTGTTTCCTGGGTGAGGAGTGGGCGAGAGGAAGGTGCCCAGAGATCTGCGCGACCATCCAGGGCTTGGCGACCGCAGCCTCCGGGGTCCTGCCCACCCCAGACCTGGCTCCTCTTCCCTCTCCCCTTTCCCTCTGTCTCTGCCTCTCTGCCTGCGTCTCTGCCTGTCTGTCCTTCTCTCCTCCAAACAAAATCCCTGGAGGCCCGAGGGGGACACTCTGACGGGTGGCCCGTGCCCTCTCCCTCGTCCGCCTGCGGCACCTCGAGCTGGGCTGACACGCATGTGCCGCTGAGAGTGCCGCCCAGGACAGGGGTTTTCAAAGGAGTCGCCTCCAGTGAGCGGCTGCCCGATGATGCCAACGCCTGTTTGCCTGACCCAGCGTCAAAGGACCTGACCAGCCCTTGGGGGCAGCTTCTGGCCCTGTTACAATAGCAGGTGCTTGATGGACAATCTATAGTGTCCCCTTCAATCAGGAGGAAAGGGGCCCTAGTTTGCTGGGCCTGACCCAGAGGGAAGCAGGACTGGGCTGGTCACATGCCCTCGTCTAAAGACGCACATGGGAACCTACTTCTCTCCCAGTTTAGATCGATGGGACCATGAAGTCAGAAAAAGGTGAGGGATTCTGGAAAGATCTTAGGGGTCCCATGTCCTGATCTGACTGCCCTCGAAACCACTGTCAGGGGCCCCGATGTGCAAGGCCGGCTTGATCAAGAGCCCAGTGGGGCAACATCGGGCCTAAGAAACAGGGTTGCGCACACGCCCATTGCTCCTTCCTTCTCCCGAGGCCGAGTGCGCAAGCAGTGGTGGCATCCGGGCCGTCATCCAAGGGGTCATGGCCAGCGCCCAAGGGTCCCACAGCTACCTCAGGCCTCATGGCTGCATGGCCATTCATTGCTCAGGGGAGCTGGGGGAGAACATTTCTCTGGGCCTCTGTACCCCTCTGCCACGTGGGCCTGTTCTCGCCTCCTTAACGCTCCCTCCTCCTCCCACACCAGCCACCCAGCCTCATTTTCCCACGGGAGCACCGACCAGGGCGTCATGGGGGCCCAAACCACAGGCCATATTCTGAAGACAGTGGGAGCAGAGAGGAGGAGGATGCCGGTCTGGTGTCAAGGCACGGACAGTGGCACAGCCAGAAGAGCGGGCCAAGAAGAAGGGGCGAAGTGCAGGAGGCTCCGAGGGCCCGAGTAGCCGGATGCAGGAGCCGCGTGACTCCTGGGGCTCGCAGGGCTGCGGGGAGGGCGCCGGGGGCCGCAGGACGCCCGGCCCTGAGCCAGCCTGCGGGGCGTGGGCTCCTGAAGGTGGGGCGTGAAATGGCCACATCAGGAGGCAGAAGAAGCCCCTAGGCAATGGCGTGGCAAGCGGACTGTGGTCCGGGGAGAGCCTGGATCCTGGAGAAGGTGGAGTCCAAGGCTGTGGCTGCACTAGGAGGAGGGAAGGTGGTGGCAGGAGCCAGGGCAGGGGCGGTGCCGGAGGCCCGAGGGGCTGTCGTGCAGCCGGCAGCCAGCAAACAGCAGGCCAGGCGGCCTGGGGGCGGCCAGGGCTAATCCCGGAACCTTTTTTTTTTTTAAGATTTTATTTATTATTTATTTTTGGAGAGCAGAGAGGGAGGGAGAAAGAGAGTAAGAGAAATAGTAACATGTGTTTGTCCCTCCCACGCTACCCACAGGGGATCCTGCCCACAGCCAAGGCCTGTGCCCTGACCGGGAATCCAAAAAGCGACCCTTTGGTTTGCAGGAAACGCTGAATGCTCTGAGCCAGGCAGCCAGGGCTAATCGTGGACACCTGGAACTCAGAGACGCACCAGCTGTCATCTCTGCCAGATAACTGAGGACCTGAGAGAGCTTGTGCCCAGAGAGATGTGACCCATGGGAAGAGAAGAGGACCGGCAAGGCGCTCTGCAGGCCCTCCAGGCTAAGGGAAGGGGCGTGGGAGGAGACCCAGAAGGAGCTACAGGGGAGGCAGGAGGGAAACCAGGAGAGCGGCCTCAGGGGATGATGGGGCGGGGAAAGTTTAGGAGGACAAGGGGTCCCCTTCACTTGGGGAGATAACGACCTGGCTTGAGAGCGGCCCCGGGCCGGCGAGGGCTGGCCAGCCGGCAGTGCCCTGCCTGTGGCAGCAAAGGAGCAGGCGAGTGTCCTTGGAGAGGGCCCTTGCTCAGCCGGAGCAGGAGAGAGGTCTGGGCAACAGGCCACATCTAGCGGTGGCTGGACATGTTTACAGACCAGAAAGTACTAGAGAAGAATCCAGGAGAGGGCACAGTGGTCCCGAGCGCCTGAACTGACCGCAGACTGGGGCTAGAGCGGGTGAAGTGGCCTTGGCATACTCCACGGAACTGGCTGTGCAGGTAAGTCTGCAGACCCAGCGGTGACTGTTCCTCCCTCGACCAGCCTGACCTGAGGGCCCTCTGGGTGGGCTGTAGGGACTGGAACGAGAACTCAGTGGTGATCACGTTGTCACAGGTGGGCACAGGTAACCCAGGGTCGTGGTGACTGCAGACAAACATTGAACTGAAACTACAGAGTCTATAGCAGAAAGTGAAAGAAAGCAGATAAATTAAGCCACGCAGAACATGGGAGCACCAACTCTGAGCAGAGCAGAGCCTCACAGCAGCCAGGACTGAGGGGGGAGAGGGCTTCGATTCCTTAGGGTGGGTCTCCCATGATTCCTTCCCTGGCTCGGGAACGAGGTCCCACAATGCCAATTTATTTTAAGGCTCTTTGAATGAAGCGGGGGTCAGGCAGCATCTTCTGCACAGGCGCATTCCTGATTCACGAGGATTCAACGCTTTTCCAAAAGCAGAAACCACCAGTCGGAGAACAGGGTCTCCGCCCTTTATCCTTGTTCTTTATCTTATCCCTGGGGCACCTCTGGAGTTGGCTCCTTCCTGACTATCTGCTGCCTCAACGTGGCAGGACCCCAATTCCTGAGGCGGCCACAGTGGGGAGAGGGACGCAGGACGGACGCCTGGCTCCTTCCTCTCTCCTGGACCTCTCACCTCTCTGGAGCAACCCCGGGGAAACTCCCTGAGGGGCCCCGGAACGACCAGGATGCTGTCAAGGAGATGGAGAAACCCTTTCTTCGCGGCACACACGGGACCAGCCGAGCCCCCAGTCCAGCGAGCCCCGTGAGGCAACAGCGGGGCTGAGGCAAGCTCCCGCCCAGCCCAGCACGGGCAGGAGGCCGGTGACGGGGGGGGGGGGGGGGCCAGGTAGCCTCCTGGTAGGGCCATTGCAACACTGTCGGGCATAAAGGAGGGTGGCACAGGCTGGGAGGACGCACAATCGGGAACCATGGAGGCCCAGAGGGACGGCCGCTCCTGGGCGCGCTGGTCACTGATGCTCCTGCTGCTGGGCCTGGCGACGCCGCCAGCCACTGCCCAGGCCCTCAGCTACAACGAGGCCGTGCTCCGTGCCGTGGAGGCCTTCAACCAGCGGTCCTCGGAGGCTAGTCTCTACCGCCTCCTGCAGCTGGACTCGCAGCCGCCCAGTGCAGTGAGTGGGGCAGGGCACTCGGGAGGGAGGCTCTGGACCAGCCAGGGGCCACGCTGCCACCCCGTGTGCTCATGCAGGGGCTGGGCTCCGGAAGGCACTCCTCCCTTTCCGTGGGACCCCACCTCTTCCAGGAGACCTTCCCAGAGCTGTGTTCCTTCGAAGAGGACAGCTGCCTCCTTAGAATCTCTAGTGTGCTAAGAGGTACCCTCCATACCCCCATTCAGGCTTCAGGGAACTCTGGAATCCCCGGAACAAGGGTGGGGCCACTGGGTCTGGGACGTGACTTCCCTGCATCCAGTTGTCTCTGCTCCTGCTCATCTCTCACACAGGGAAGTGCCCTGGTGGGCCCTGAGGTTCTCGGGACACTGTCTTTCCTGCAGAAGGGTCTTGACATCCCTTGAGGCCCAGAGCTTGTCTGAGCTCTGCCCTGTGCTCTGTGTGCTTGCTGGGGACAGAGATGGGCCCTGTCCTGCTCCGCTCTGTGCCCCACACCCCACCCGGTGCAGGGAAGTAGCCAGGACTGTGAAATGAGGGGCCCGGGGAGACAGGACGAAGAAGCCTGGCAGGTACCCAGCCTGGTCTCCCCACTGTCTCTTCCGTCAGGACGAGGACCCAAACAGCCCGAAGCCTGTGAGCTTCACGGTGAAGGAGACTGTGTGCCCCAGGACGACGCAGCTGCCGCCCGAGCAGTGTGCCTTCCAGGAGAACGGGGTGAGGCTGGGGCCCGGGGCCGACGGGGCCTCCCCTGACGCTGATCCATAGGCGTCCTCGGAACCGTTCCCGTCACCGGGGTGAGGCTGGACGGTTTAAGCCCAGAGATCCCAGTTTGACCTCAGGCCTCGTCTTTCCAGCTGGTGAAACAGTGTTCGGGGACCGTCACCCTGGACCAGGCCAATGGCCCCTTTGACATCAACTGTGTGGACGTAAGTGGCCCCTTCTCCCACTGTCGGGGCCCGCGAGCGGGGGTGCATGGAGCTTCCTGTGGACCAGTTCACCGTTGCCCCATCCAGGGCAGAGAGAGCCCTTCGTGCCCTGGGCTCCTCCCTCAGCCCGAGCCCCAGGTCCCCAGGACTGGCTCTGCAAGGCCCCGGAGCAGCGGTTGTCCAAGGGCCGTCCTCTCCCGGGAAGGTGGTGGCAACGCCGGTTGTCAGGCCCCTTGAGACCCGCTGCCTCCCAGTCTGGGGTGGGGCCCAGCACTTTGTATTTCGGCAGCCGTCCCGTAGAGCCTGACCCCTGCGGACTTTGGAGAGCCAGGGGCTCCAAGTGATGGGGTTGCAGGACATGCTGTGGCCTGCGGTTGCTGGGACGGGCTGTGTGACCTTGAGAAGCAACTAGCCATCTGGGTTCTCCGCTTCCTCATCTGATTATGGATGTCGGGACTCAACCACATGTTCTGAGGGTCCCAGCTAGAGGGTGGAATATCACCGTGAGGCTCCTCAGGTGGCCCTGGAAGGGGAGGTCAAGTTGGGAATGGTCTTGACCCTGGGTCCAGCCCCCTCTAGCAGCCTCTTTCTTCCTGGTGCACAGGTGCAGAATGTCAGGCGCCGCTGGTTGGTGAGACGCCCACCCTGGTGGAGGCCGAGATGGATCTGAATGATCGAAGATACTATTTTTTAACTTGAGCCCAGGGAGAGTTTTAACGGTCGGATTTGCGCTAGCTCCAGCTTCTGCTCTATGAAAAATAAAGTCTTGTGAAAGCAATGTCGCCAGGCTTCAGTTTCACGTGTCTCTCCTTTTCTCACAGCCTTGGAGTCCAGGCTGTCGTGTGTCTGCGTGCGCACAGTGCGCGCATGTGCAGCAAAGCTCAGGCCTGGGTCGGAGCCGCTGTTCCCTGCAGGACTGCATGAAGGGAATCAGCAAGGACATGGGGCCCAGGACAGGGTCCCCCCTCTCAGAGTCGCCCCTCCCTCGGGTACCCCATCCCCAATGCCCCTCTGCCTGCTCTGCCCAGTCCCCTCCCCCCGCTTTCTTCTTTGAGTCCAAAGTAGAAACTCAAGGGGATGTAATCTGTGTGCACCTGGCTAGGGATGCTCCTGGAGCTGTCCCTGCTCAGCAGGTGGTGACCGTGGAGGGAGGGGCCGGGCGTTCTGTTAAACACCCACAGAGAAGCACTTCACGCTCATGGTTGGCCGGGTTCTGAGGTCACCAAGATCCAATACCCATCAAACTCCAAAGTCCCCTGGAAAATGTCCCCTCTGCTAATCCCTCCACACCGCGGGGTAGCCATCAAGGGCGCCCGCTGCGATCAGCTCTTCACCTGGGTGGTGAGGGACCAGGCGCTGGAGATAAAGGTCTGCCTTTCCCCAGTGGGTGAGCTTCTCGGACTTGCACGTGGTGGTTCTGGGGAAGGAACTGCCGTCTATTGCTCAAGGATGGAGATGAGACTCAGTTAAGGCCTCTGGTCTAGTTGCAGTAGAGTGAGTTTTCCCCCAGGAACGCGCTTCCGTGGAGTCAAGTGGAGACTGTGGCTGAGCCCGAAGGCCTGGCTCTGTGACCTGAGCGCTCCAAGGGGAATGTTTGCTCCCCCAGGCACGGCCCAGGAGGGCAGCCTCGGACAGCGTTAATGCCGCCTCCCAGAAGCTCTTGTCCACAATCTTTAAATAAAATTAAAAAAAAAAAACACCCTCCTTTATTTAGTTATAGTTAGAGAGAGTGGAAGGGAGGGAGAGAGAGAGGGAGAGAAACATTGATTGGTTGCCTCTCCCCCTACCCAGACCTCAACCAGACCCAGAAACCAGGCTTGCGCCCTGATCAGGAATCGAACCTGTGCAGGCTGAGCCTCACTGGTCAGGGATGCTTGGCCACATTCCTACCCAGACTGTTGCTACACCCAAGTGGGATCAGACAGTTCCTTTTCCCATTCCTCTTGGCTTCTCCCAGGAGTTTCTCTGCTGATGCCATGTAGGAAACCTTGCAATATGCAAATTTGGACCCCAAAGGAATTCTATCTCCTTGGCAAATGCTTGACAATGGATGATAGAAACCAGTAGGGAAATACCCAGCCTTCTGGCTTCTGTTGGGAAGTAGAGGACCTCCAGCTAAACTGGGCCAGTTGTCCACGGTGTTGACCAGCTTTCTCTTCCCTGTTTTTCTCTCCCAGTGCCTTTGCTCCTGTATTGTGAGATCCCAGTCCCTCCTACATCTCAGGAATTATATATTAGTGATTACAAATTATATTTGTTTTAAACCAATCCCTCTCTACTGAGTCCACTCCCTTAGCATATAAGCATGTTCAAATTATTACTATTCTAAAAACTATCTCTTCTATTTTTTCTGCACCTACTGTCTCTCTTCTTTAACAAACCTGGAAATCCCCATTTACCTACTGCTTCCTTCCATCCCACACGCTCCTCAACCCTCTGCAGTCTGCTTCTGTTCCCGCCACTTGGTGGACAGTATGCTGACAACTCCAATAATCTTATACTTTTTAAATTTCCTTTTCCCCTCAGTCTTTCTCCTTCTTGCAGCCCCAGCAGTATTTGATTCCATTTTTCTTATTCTTACCTTTCCCCTAGACTCTCCCTACTGTTTTCTAGCGTCTGTAGTCACCATCAGCTTTTTGTGAGATGCTTCATAACTACTTCCCAGTCCTCTCCCTCTCCCTTCTGTCTTCTCATCACATACATTCCCCTCACTTAAATCTTTAGTTGCTTCATTTTACTCAGTCACTAAGGACATTTTCTCTACAATGGCCACATAGGTAGGGACTGATGGGGACATGGAGCTACCAACATTCAGAGGGACAGAGTTTTAAGGACGAGACAGGAGAGATGGAGGGATATCAATGGAATGATGACTACTGAGTACTGATTTGAGGCCGGTTTTGCATAGATGAAAAGTTTATTTATATGTGAACAATAAAGAAATATTTTACCAATTTTAAGACTACTATTGTGTCCTTTGTGGTAAGGTCATGGATTGCACCACATATCATACCAACATAAAAGCAGGGTATTTAACCCCTTTTGTCTATCATACTTGAGAACTGACAAAGCTCAGCCACGCGGCTCCTCATGTGCTTGAACAATGGGGGCTCGAATGTTTGAGGGAAGATGGGGCATGGAACCCTCTCTGCATTTCCGCAGCTGTTCTGAGCCTTCACACCATGATCTAAGGGCCCCGGAGCACCCGAACTGCCACTGGCTCGGAGTCTGTGAGACGGAGCTTCGTCCTTTCACTTACTACTTATGTGAGCCCAATAAATCTTAGACAGTGAATTTGCCTAAAATTGTTTACATTTGAAAGCCAAAAACCCATTGCTGGAGAAAATGAGCTATCTTTAACTTTGATGAAAGTACTTTCTTCTACTTGAGAACCCAACTTTTTAAAAAAAATAAAAACACTTGGAGAAATGTTCTTTTCTTTTTTATTGAGGTGTAATTGACATAGTCGACTGAACACCTTAAAAGATGCAGCTTGATGTTATGTAGACATCCATGAAATAATCATCATCAAGATATGAACATAGCCATCAAGCTCCAAGTGTACTCTACTCTCCGCCCCTCACCGCCAAGGCAGCTGCTGCTCTGTCACTACCGATTACCTTTCATTTTCTAGAATTATATAAGAAGAATCGTACAATATGTACTATTTTAAAATATCTTTGGCTTCTTTCACTCAACACAACTATTTTGAGAATCACCCATGTTTTTTGTATATGAAAATTTCATTCTTTTTTATTGTTGAACAATATTCCATTGAATAAAGCATAATTAATCCATTCATCTGTTAGGACATTTGGATGAATAATTTTTCCTTGTATATATACACAGCACAATTAGGTTATCCATTCATCCATTGGTGAGCATTTGGGTTGTTTCCACCTTTTGGCTCTTATGAATAATGTCACTGTAACATTCATGTACAAGTTTCTAAGTGGACATATGTTTTCTTTTTTTCTTGGGTACATACCTAGCAGTGGAATTGTCGCGTCATTGTTAATGCTATGTTTAACTTTTGGAGGAACTGCCAAACTATTTTGTACTATTTTACATTTCCACCAGCAATGCACTTACTGCATACTTGCCAACGCTTGTTATTTTTCATTTTCTTCTTTATTAAAGCCATCATAGTGGATGTGGAATGGTATCTCCGGTTTTGATTTGCACTTTTTTAATGAGCAATGATGCTGAATACCTTTTCATGTGCTATTTAGCCATTGCATATCTTGTTTAGAGAAATGTCTGTTCAAGTTCTTTGCCCATTCTAAAATTAGGCTGTTTGTCTTTTTACAAGTGACTTTTAAGTTTTAAAAAATATATTCTGAATTTTAATCTCTTATCAGATATATAATTGGCCAATATTTCCTACCATTCTGTAGGTTTTTCATATTCCTGATACTATTCTTTGATGTACAAGAGTTTTAACTTTTGTTTTAGTTTTGATGAAGTCCAATTTATTCTTTTTGTTTCTCGTGGATTGGGTGTCAATCTTAAGAAGCCATTCCCAAATCTGAGATCATGAACCCCTACTTTCCCTTCTAATAGTTTTTACAGTTTTAGTTCCTATATTCAGGCTGTTGATCTATTTTGAGTTCCTTTTGTGTATATGATGTGAGAGAGGGGGCTGACTTCACTCTTTTCCATTTGATTATCCAGTTGTCCCATCACCATTTGTTGAAGAGACTATTCTTGCCCCCATTGGTCTTGGCGCTCTTGTTAAAAATCAGTTCACCATAGACATTTCGATTTATTTCTCGATTCTCAAGTTTATTCCGTTGGTCTATACGTCTATCCTTAGGCTAGTATCCATTGTTCTAATTACTATAACTTAGCAGTAGGCTTCAAGATCAGGAAGTGTGGGTTCTCCCAACTTTTTTTTCAATATTGTTTTGGCTATTTGAAGTCCCTTGCAGCTTGACATGAAGACTGCTTCTCTTTCTGCAAAAGAGGCTGTGGACATGGACCTTGAACCTATAACCTAGATATGGATTTAACCTGGACTTTAGACCTGACATTGGACCTGAACTTTGGACACAGACCATGACCCACCTTAGGAACTGTACCTTGGATCTAGACCTTTAAGCTCACCTGTGCACCTAGACCTGATCCTGTTCCCTAGATATTGAATCAGGACCTCAGGCCTGCACAACTACTTTGGACATGCACCTTGGACCTTGATTTGTCCAGTTCCTTGGAAATTATTAGTATCTTAAGCTAGAAATTGGAAATAGATGTGAACCTTTTATAATACTTAGACCTTGGAGTTTGTCATAGACTTAGATGTGGACTCCAGTATTAGAATTCAATCTTTGACCTGTATTTGTCCAGGATCTTGGACCTGAGCTTCTATCTAGACCTTGGTCATGGACCTGGACCTCAGACCTCGATCTGGATCTTGGGTGTGATATTAGTTTGCTATGGCTCCTGTAACAAATACCAAAAACTGGTGACTTAACCAACAGAAGGTTGGTATCCCACAGTTCTGGAGGCTAAAAGTCCAAGATCAAGGTGTTGGCAGGGTTGACTCCTGAGGGCTGTGAATTATGTTCCATACCTCTCCTGGCTTCTGGTGTTTTCCTGGCGATCTCCAGCATTCCTTAGTTTGTAGATGAATTGCACTGACCTTCCTCTCCACGTTCCCATGGTGTTCTCCCTGTATGCATTGTGCCCAATTCCCCTTTCCATAAGGACATTGGTCACATTGGATTAGAGGTCCATCCTACTCCTCTGTGACTTCACCGTAACTAATTACATATGCAATGGTCTTATTTCCAGTCTCAGGACTTTGTCATATAAACCTTTGAGGGCCACAATTGAACTTATGACAGGTGTGAAGTGGTATCTTTGGACACTGACTTGGATTGACTTGGAACTTGAAATTTGGACCTGGACCTGGATGTTCGCCTGGATTGGTCCGGAACACTGAAACAGCCCTTAGACCTAGATTTTGGCATTCAGCAGAGTACCTGAAACTTTGATTAGGAGACTGGACCTGGGTTTTATACCTGGACTTGGTCCTTGGACCAAGTACCCACAGTTTCACCTTGGACCTAAATTTGGCATTGAAATCAGGTCTACTCAGACATTAGGGCTGGTCTTTGGACCTGGACCAGATATTTGGAAATGTACCTGAGAACTTAGGTCTTTAGCTTGAACCTCCTCCTCTAAAATCAGACACATACCTTGTACCTCAACTTTGGATGTGGGCCTGGCCCTGATCTTGGTCATGGGCATTGGACCAATACTTTGAAAACAGACATGGACTGTGGACCTGAACCTGCAGTTGGATTTTGGGTCTTATTCCTGAACCTTGAATTTGTATTTTAAACCTTGGTCTCTGATCCTGACATAGCCCTTAAATCATACTTTGAATCTCAACCTGTCCTTGGCCTTGAATCTTGAAACTAGACATCAGATCTCAACGATATACCTGCATGGTCCTGGGCTTTAGACCTGACATTAGACATGGCTTTTGCTTATACACATGAATTTGGATCTTAAACTTGAATATGGGTCTTGAACCTGAACTTTATTTTTACTTTTTAATTTTTTTATTGTTATTCAATTGCAGTTGTCCCCATTTTCCCATTCTTCTCCCCTGCCCTCCCTTACCCCCACCTTCCACTTTCAATCTTCCCCTCTGCTATCTTTGTCCACAGGTCCTTTATACATGTTCCATGACTTGACCCTTCCCCTTCTTTCCCTTATTATCCCCCTCCCTCTTTCCTTTGAACCTGAACTTCTGAGAGGACTTGGACTTCATACCTTGATCTTGGATCTGGACCTAATGCCCAGACTTCAGACCTGGATGTGGACATGAACTTAGTCCTGAACTCTGACCTATTCCCAGACATTAAGCCTGAAACTGAGACACGGATTTAACCTGCAACTTTGTACCTGACATTAGACTTGGACATTGGACCTGGACCAGGTCCTTGTAACTGTACCTGAATCTGGAATTTGGACTTGGACCTTCTTACTCTGGCTATTGCTTCATCTCCTTTGTTGGCTTGTACAAATATTTATTTTAATAAATTCTATGTAAAGTCAAGGCTCTTCACTATCCCCAATTTGTAGATTGCCATGGCAATGGCCCCCAATAATTCATACCTCCCAGTGTCCATGCCCTCATGCAGGCCCTTCCCACATGGACTCTGCGTTTGGCCATGTGACTTGCTTGGGTCAATGGGATATTAGCAACATGACATAAACAGAGGCTTCCTAAGCTTGTGAATGGGGACCTGCCTTCTTGGAGCCCTGAAACAACCATGCTATGAAGAAGTTCAAGATGAAAGGTCACATTAGACCCAGCTGCTGAATGCAGCCACGTGAGTGAGTCCAAGTGAGACCAGCAGAATCACCCCACCAATAGACAAACATAGAACAAGAAAGCATTACTGTTTTAAGCTACTAAATTTTGAGGTGATTCGTCATGAAGTAACTGAAAAGTATCATCTTCAGCTGCAACAAAAACATGGCTACCTTTAGTGGCTTTGTGCAAATCATAAAAAAAAGTGAATCATAAAAACAAGCCTCACCCTGACCGTGTAGCTCAGTTGGTTAGAGCATCGTCCCAATACACCAAGGCTGGGGGTTTGCTCCCCAGTCAGGGCGCACACAAGAGAACCAATGAATACATAAGTGGAAAACAAATTGATGTTTCCCTCTCTCCCTAAAGATCAGTAATAAAAAAAAACCCACAAAAAATATTCCTCTACTGGGCAGGCACACCTTTGTTCAAAATCAAAGCCTCCCCTTCCTCCTGGATGCAGCCTGTGCCAGAGGCGCAGTGTTGGATCTGCACTCAGCTGTCACTGGGCGCCCTCATGCACAGCCTAAGCTGCATGCAGCGTGCACGGGATATTTCCACACAGTCTTTCTCCACGGAACAAGGGAGAAACTTGGCTTCAGCGCAGGTTTAATTACTAATGACTCCAGTTAAGGATGGAGAGAAGGCACCCAGCGCAGAGCTCCCAGCCTTGCCTACTGACTTGCACTGAGGAAGCCAGGCCCCATGCTGCTTAGAGAGAGTTACTGCAGGGCTCTTGCTTGAAAAAGGATGAGCAGTTTTCAGAAAAAAGAGGAAGCATTCTTCCTCCGAGCTGCCCACGAACACTCCAGAGGCGAGGCAGACAGGGTTAGATTCTAGAGGCGGTGGCAGTGAGGGGCTGGGCCGTCACGCAGGTGGCGAGCCCTAGCGGGGAAGACGCCATGAGCCCCAGGCCTCCCTGGTCTCAGAAGAATGCTCTGGACAGGAGGGCTAAGACAAAAGTCTTGGCCACGCCACCAGTCTTCACATACTGACAGGCCTGCCTCAGGCTCCTGTGCCGGCTGCACGGTGGACGCCGCCCTCCGGACTGTAGCGCACGGGGCCACAGCGCAACTGTGGCTCCTCCTCCTCATACCAGCGCTGCTCGCTGAAGTCAGGGAAGAAGGCTGCGATCTCTCTGCTGGCTGAAGCCACAGAGTCTGTAAGAGAAGGCAAGAAAAAGAGGGGATTCAACTGGGGAGCACAGAAAGGCAGTCAATATCAGGCTCACAAACCAGAGCTTCGCCTCTTCCCGCCCGTCCCACAGTCCCGGGGCCACATCTGCCAAGATGGCCACAAAGGGCCAGCTGGGAAAAAAAGCTCACAGGGAGGATCCAACTCTCAACCCCACCATATGGCCCACCCACCAGCCCCACACTAAGCCCCCCTATTTGTGGCTATGGGTCTGGGAGGCAAACTCACCAGAGCCATGGGTGGTGTTGCGGGTGTCGGTGAGGCCGAAACTCCCACGAATTGAATCTGGGGCCACGTGGCGCGCTCGAAACACTCTGGTGGGGCCCATCAGTGTCCTCCACAGCTGGATGGCATCCTTGTGGGCGAGGATGTAGGCTCGGATTGGCCCGCTGTGAATGACAGGAGCAGACACCCGTCAGGACTCAGGCCCCTGGGTCTAGGACGGCACGCTATGTGCGGGCACAGATGAAGGCACACTGCGCATCGTGAAAGCTTCCGGGCTTTTCTAGCTGGGTACCAGTGCTGCCCACATAGGTGATGGAGGGGTCACTGCTGAAATCCAAGAAAGTCGCAAAGCTCAGCAGAGTTGCTAGGCGGCATTTGACAGTGTTCTGCTGCAGCCCCTGGATCAGCGACCACCATGGGACTGGTGGCCGCCAGGCAACCGTTGGCTCACTCAGGGCCCCGGGCCCTTGTGTCTTTGGACGCTGGACACTCATTTCGACTTTCAAGAGTGGCGAAGGGAATTAATGAATCTACTTAGGGGGCAGGGGAGATACGTCTCAGTAGATAAAGATGCTGGAACCAAACTCAGAAGTACCTGGCCATGAACTCCACCAGCCGCTGATAGAAAAAACGCCCTGCAAAGAGAGAGGACCTTTGTCAAGACACTGGTGCCCAAGAGAACCGACTGCGCTTCTGGCTCCTAACTTGGGATAATAAAAACTGTTTTAGAGCCAAGAACAAGGCCCTTGGAGTCTGACGTACCTGGGTCCGAATCCAGGCTCTGCCACGTACCACCTGTGCGATTTTGGGTGACTCATGAACTTCTCTAACTCAGTTTCCTAATCTGTATCCTGGGGACATAACAATGCCTACCTAGCAGGGCTGCTGGGAGAGTTAAATGAAATCATGAGCATCACGACCATGTCTGACAGAGTAAACGTTCACTAAATGTTAACTACTGATATTACCAGGATATAAAACTAAGTTTCTGGTTGGACTGGACTGTGAGGTAGAACCTTCCTAGAAAATAGAAAAAACAAAACCAAACCCTGAGAATCATGACAAGTCTGTGTATATACTGAGACTTGAAACTGGTGACAATCTCAATGCTGGTGGTAGAGAGCCTGCGTCATGTGGCCAGGTAAGTCTGTCCTGCACGCCTTCTGGGGCAGAGACGCCTCCCACTCAGAAGGCTGCCGAGCGTACCTTCATGCTCTTGGTAGAACCGCTGGCAATCTTCTTTTCGCCACACAAGTTCTCTCATTCGTACAATAAGGAACTTGTTGCTCAGAATCTGTTGATGAACAGCCTAGGATAAATATCACCGCAAAGATAAAAATCAGTCAAAAGGGCCATCTGAGTGAACAAAAGGCTGACCAAAGGACCCGTGGGAGCCCAGGGCTTGAGAGCCTGTCCCTGGGTGGGCCAGCGAGAAGACGGTGGGGCAAAGCCCTTCAGTCACACCACCAGCACGTGGCCTTGGGCGGAGCGGGCAGGAAGTGCTGTGCCTGCGCCTCCCTTCCTGCAGCCCCTCGAGCCCAAGCCCACAGGACCCACCACTCGAGCCATCAGGAACGTCTCTTGATAGTGGCCCTGGCCTGAATTTCCCCCACTCTCTCTGTACCATCACACCTGACAAGTCAAAAACATTGTAATTTAGGTCACACTCTGGTCAGAAGCATTCACGTGGTTCCTATTATTCATGGGATGAAGAGCGACCACTTCATTCTGGTGCTCAAGGCTGCACTTCCCTGCCCCCCACCATTTCCAGCTCTCTAGTCCCACCACCCAGCCCACCGGTGGCCCTCAGACACACCACTCCCGCCTCAGCACCTCCCTTCTGTGGGATGCTTGTCCTCCTGGGCACCAACCGAAGTCCATCCTTCCCTTTGAAGCCTGGCCTAGTCTCAACACTTGCAAGCCACCGTTCCTCATGGCCCTGGTCTCCCTTTGCAGTACAGTGGGCTTACTTAGCAATGCTGCTCAGCTACTACTTACCAAACTGTTGTAAGCACAATGCTAAAGTGTCCCTCACCTAGCCCCACCAAGTTGCCTTCCCTAAATCTCCAGGACGGTAAGTATCATGCAGAATGATTACTACGTGACATGACAAGAGAGATTTTGCAGGTGTAAGGTTAATATAGGTGGACTTTGCTTTGATCAAAAGGCAGATTATCTGGACGGGCCTAATTAGTCACATGGCCTCTTTACCAGCAGAGATGTATCTGGTTGGGAGCTAAAGGCAAAGTCACAGAGATCTGAAGCACTCGATGCACCGCTGCTGTCCTGAAGACGCAGAGGGCCAACGGATGACGGATGGGAGGAGCCTTCAGAAGCTGAGAGCAACCCCTGCCTACAGGCAAGGACACAGGGACCTCAGTCCTATAACCACAGGAACTTAATTCTGCCAACAACCCGAGTAAGTTTGGGAGTGGATTCTTTCCCAGACCCTCCAGGTGAGGGCCCAGTCAGCTGATACCTTGACTTCGGCCTTGTGAAACCGTAAGGAAAGAACCTGGCCAAGGCTCCTGAGCCTCAGCTTCTAGAATTGTGAAATAACAAAGGAGTGTTGCTTAAAGCTACTAAGTTTGTGGTAATTTTTACACAGCAATAGAAAACTAACACACATACATTGTCTTGAGGTTTGGTTCCTCTTATTATTATACGGGATTCTTTCTTATATTTTATATCTACCCAAATCTCCGACAGATTTTCAGTCTTCTTAGGGTCTGAGTCCATGGCTCCTAGCTCTGCCTCCATGGTATCTAGTACAGGACTGTGTTGTCAGTCTTTACAAGTGGCCCTATGGCACCTCAAACAGAAGTGATGTCCAGGGCACACAGGAGAGGCTTGGGATTCATTCTTACCTCCAAAATCAGTGGGTGAGCAACTGCATCGGGCTTGATCAGCGCCAGGGTGAGCTGGAGAGCCTGAGGGCTTCGCAAGATGGAGGTCATCCTGCTCTCCCGCTCCTGCCATCAGAGCTGGATTAGGGACCCATCGGAGCTGCACCCCCCGCCCTTCCTCCTCTGGAGCTGTGCAGCCCTGCAAGCCAACCAGCGCTCTCATTTACAGAAAGCACATGACGGTTACACAGGAAGACTGTATACATTGTTATTGTATACAGGTATATTTTGTTGTATTTAATGGCCCTTGTGTGCTCAGGGATGGAGGGAAGGGAGTGGGAGGGGCGCACGGGGGCTGTCCTGTGGGTTACATTATCTGGTTTTTGCCACTGTGAGCCTACAGAGGAGTGACCCATTCAAGAGAGACTCAAGTTTAAACACTACCTGTCTCTCCCAATATTCCCTTCCCTTCCTGACTGTTCTGTGTTGTACAGAGTATTTACAACTACACTTCTCAAGAGCCAGGCCACAAGGGTAGAACAAGTGTGCCCACTGCAAAAGCCCTCTATCTTGTAACGCTCTCCCACTGACTGCAGACTTGGAAGACGGGGTGGGCCAGAACCAGGATGTTGGCAGGAGACCACAGAGTCTGCTGGGTACATGGCGTCTCTGATCTACTCTAATAGGTAGGTCAAGATCTTTCCTGTCCAACTCAAACCCTGTAATACACTCAGCTGTTCTCAATGGCAAAGCTTACAGATGTGCCACTCCAAGTTCAGGGACTAGTTGTAACCATGTTGTATCTGAAGCAGCCGAAACAGTATTTGGCACAAGGGTGCTTGAACAATTTTATTGCCTAATGAACCTACATAGCTTTTTCTATTCATATCTGCATTTCCAGTGTTTAACATGCTGTAAGAGCTCAATAAATAATTGTGCAAATGATATAAAGAAAATAAAAGTATTTTATACCCTGGCCTAAGAGCACTTGAATTCTCTTCCAACCATGAACTTCTATTGATATGTGAGAAGCTGGTCATCTCTGCAGGACTAAGGACTAGGTCTCAGAAGATACCCGGTGGAACCCCTAAATTTGCCAGCCAATAGAGAAGGCTTCCATGAGCACATGCAGGACCAGTCTGGCCAACACTTTCATTTCTCTTAGTCCCAAAGTAGCCCGACAATCATGTTAAAGGTGGTGTTAAGGTCTGGCTCAAATGAGGAAGCTATGCCAAGGTCTCTTCTTCTCATGTCCTTTCTATACCTTCAGCTTGATGCTCCACTCGAACCACAAAGCTAAGCCAAGTCTAGCCAGTACAAGATTGGCCAACCCATTCTCCCTAATTTCCCAGGTGGTTAGTGACCCAAAGCACGCAGAGTCTTCACCATACATCTAGAGACATGCTTGGCACCTCCTCTCCCTCATCTCCCACATCCACGCTATCACTAAATTGTGATAATTTTACTTAACCAATATAACATCTCAAATCCATACAATTCCCTCCCTCTCAACTACCATCACCAAGTCCAAGGTAGCATCCTCCCTCCCTCGACTGTGCAACAGCCTCCTGAATGGTTTTCCGGTTTCTGTCTTGCTACCCTCTATAATTTGTTCTCCACAAAGCAGCCAGAGAACTAAAGATGCAAATTTACCTATCATTTCCTTCCTTACTTAACCCTTTAAAGTCTATCATGCTTTTGTAATAAAACCCCAAATCCCTATCGTGGTCTACTGGACTTTGCGTGACCTGATCCCTGCGTCCCTCTCTAGCCTCATCTAGAACTCCACGTTCCTGAACTTTTTTGTTCCAGCCTCATGGGCCCTACAGCTCCAAGACTTTCTGGCCTGACAGCGTTTATATGAGTTTTCGCAGCCAGAATGTGCTTCCTCTGGTTTCCTCCTACTCACGTACCAGATCTTAGCTTCCTTCTCCTGTAATTCTTTCTCAGAGCTCCTTGCACGTTTTCGTCAGTTACGCCTTCCCCACTAAGAAGGTCAGTTCCATGAAAGCAGGGGTCTGTTTTGCTCACCATCGTATCCTCAGTACCGATGCAGAGTGCCTAGCACGTAGCTCGTTCTCAACAGTATTTGTCAAACGAATTAATCAATGAACGTGATCCAGCCATACGAAGGCCAGGCTGCGAGAGGCCTCCAGGGGAGGATGTGGGTCCTTTCTTAATGCCACCTATGGCTGTCTTGGTTCTTAGTTTACAACAAATGATGACAAGTCGAGAAACTTGCTCAACTTAAAGTTGTCGCTCCATCAGAGAATTACAAATTTTGTAAGTTGCCTGGGCATTTGCCCCGACACCTGAGGCACCTATTCCTCTGCTTCCGGAAGGCAGCATCCAAGCCTCTAGTCCTCGCAAGCCCGACGTGGACCTGCAGGCCCTCAACTCTGCCTCCGTCCCCCAGTACCCGAGGCCCCGCCCCCAGCCCCCCAGGCTCACAATCTCGTACCCTCCCCCAGACCCCCTCCATTTCTCCAGTCCCGCAGCCGCGCAATCCCTGCCGCTGGTACCTGGGACAAAGTCCAGACTCTGGGTTCTTCGGAGCCCCAGCTCAGCTGGAGTGCGGGTCCGAATGCACCTAGTCCTCCGGCAGCGTCCCTCGGCCGCCAGGCGCTGTGTTAGCTAGCCCGAGCGGCCCGAGCGGGGTCCTTCAGGCGTTCGGCGGGCAGCCCCCCTGGGGTCCTTGCCGTGGACCTCGGGCCGAGTCGGAAGCGTAGCGAGGCTGTGTGAGCCCTGGCAGGTGCCTGTGCTGTCCGGTTGCCCAGGACCCAAGACGGGGACAGCTTGCAGCAGGAGGGTTGGCTGCCGGTGGCCCTCATCTCTCTCCAGCGCTCGTCCTGCGCCAGACGAGAGAAGGACGCCGTCTCGGGCGGGAGCTGCCTCTCTGAGCCTCGCTGGGACTCCCTCGTGTGGTAGAGAGGGCGAGCCGGGGTACCCAGGACAGGATGGGCGTCCGAGGTGGCAGCCTGGCAGGGGCAGTGCCCGCCAGCGGGGCCACCGGCATGCTCCTTGCCTTACTCTTGTGTTCTTGTCTCACGCAAGGCTGGTTGCCAGTGTTTGTCGGAGCTACGCCGAGGGCGAAGGACTTGCGCGCTCAATCACGAGGGCAGAGGCAGGCAGCAGGCAGAGCGACCACAGAGGCACGGAGGAGCACAGCGAACCCGGGCTTGGTGAAGCAGGATTCTTGGTTGGAGCCCAGGCGTACAGAGGGCGGGAGGGAAACTAGCCGTAAGGATCGGGAACATGTCGCTAAGGAATTCGGGCACCGGCTTGTAGAGTGGGTTACCCCAGGGTCTACTGAAGTAGTCCCGGGTGAGGAGGCGAGAACTGGGTTATTCCTGGAGTGTAGTTTCGTGTTTGGAGAGGGCACAGTTTTTTCTTGGAGGGAATTACAGAATTTGAGAGGAAAGATAACAAACGGTAATTGTCATCAATTGAAATATTTTCCCAACTGATTCTAGTGCCTGCGTATCCCGGTGTCGCACTCCTGGAATGTTGATGAGAGGGTTTGTGGTTCCGGCAGCTTGTTGCCAGAGGTGTCTTTAGGAAACTTTTATGGTTGCTTTGACCGTTCTCAACAACACACCTACTTAATGAAAGTAAGGGCAGATGTGATTCTTGGGGAGACCCAAGGGCATGTGAGAAGCAACCACACATTGATGATTCCCTTTCTCCCTTCCTTCCCCTCTCTCTAAAAATAAATAAAATCTTAAAATAAACCAAACACTTGCTTATAAACAAAGTGACCAACATTCAACACATCCAACTTGAAAAGTGTATGAAATGCCTCAACTTACATGTGATGTTGTGGTTCCCACATTTCTAACCTGGTCTTTCTTTTTTACATTCTGTGCCATATCATCAGATCTTAACATTCCTTTGAATAAAACTTAATCCTCCACCCCTGCCAAAAGACAGAGCCATCTTATGTAAAACTCAACACCCAGCAGAACCTGTGGACAACTGCTTCCCAAATAAGGGAAGGAAGCAGGGGCCAAGTTATCCTTGCCTGGCTTCCTGAGGTTTCACATATATGCATGTATATTTCTTCATTCACAGTTTACTGTGTGCATGTATATATATGGTTTCCTAGGACCATAATCAAATGTTTTATATAAGAATCTCTAATTCATTGTAATAGAATCCTCACTGTGGATTGTATGAAACTCTAAGCTTTCATTTCTTTGTAAAATGAGGCTGTACTTAAATTTGTTGTGAAAAAGTAAGTTAGTCCTTGTAAAGCATTTAAAAACCTTAATGTGGCCCTGGCTGGTGTGTCTCAGCAGATTGCGCACTGGCCTATGAACCACAGGGTTGCCAGTTCAATTCCCAGTACAGGACACATGCTAGGGTTGCGGGCCAGGTCCCCAGCAGGGGGCGCTAGAGATGCAACCACATACTGATTCTTTCTTCCCGTCTCTAAAAATAAATTAAAAAACAAAAACAAAAAACCTTAATGTGGCCAGGAACTACTCAAAGTATTGTGCTCAGTAAGTTTTCTTCTAATAAAGTTCTGAATCTCTTACTACATGGTTAGTTTTTCAAACCAGATCCTGACGTCACTTGCCTGACATGTACTCAGGTTAACAATGACCAGAGCCCTCCTCTTGTAAATATTGCTGCTCTTGAAGCACCTGTTCCCTAGTGTCGACATCTGTGGTCATTTGTTCATAATCTGTATAAGAACAGAGGGAGCCCATGGCACAAGTTGTGTGATTTTGGGATGAGAACACAGAAGAGAGGATCTTTTAAAAAGATACAAGTCTTACTGAGAAAAATGTTTGCCAGCCAGATTTTCTGCTGAGAATCATTTACTGAAGAAGCTAATCAATGAGTGTGATCCTACTGTTAGTTTCCTCCAGGGTATTCTCCTCTAAAGGGCATACACTTTAAGAAGCAACCACTACATTTTACATGATCATCTGGGGATTCAGCAGGCTCTGTAATTCTCCATGGCACGTTCAGGAGTTCTCCTGTAAAAGAAGTATCTGCTTAGAGAAATCAAACGAGGAAATGAAGAGAAAAACTACCACATAGAGCCCAGCAGGAGGAATGCTAACAATTTTTCTGTGAATTAAGGCATACTAGAGACACTCTAATCTCACCGAAGAAGAAAAGCGCAGTAGAAGTGGGCAGAGGAGGGTGAAGGACGCGGATGCCCCTGAGCCATCTGGCCCTCAGGGCAGCCGTGGGGCAGAAGAGGCATAGGGCCATCATAAAGCTTCAGTTACAACCCAGGAGCGTGGACTGTCTCTTCATAGGATCTTATCCTTTGGTTGAGTCTTAAAGTTTTCAGAAGTCTTGAGGAGGAAAGTTATTTTCCAGATCAGTTTTTATTTCTGTTCTGAGGTTTTTGGGTTTGTTTGGTTTTTTTTTTTAAATTTTCTAATTAGGTATTACTGCTGTAAAGAAATGTTTCTGAATTGTAGGTTGATCATTCATGCAGCGAATTCCAGACTCTCCTTAACTGTGTTAATAGTTTGTGATTCAGCCCACCCCTGGATTGATGATTATAGTATCTTTATTTTTATCTTAGGGTGAAGTACTATCTAGTAAACAGACAAATATGGAAAGACTTGGATAAAATAACATGTTCATTGCATGCTCCCGGAGTGGTCCCTGGGGCAGGTGATTTACAGCTGCCTTCTAACTAGTGGCTCCAGGTACAGGTCTTGTGATGGTTAATTTTATGTATCACCTTGGCCGGGCCATGGTGCCCAGATATTTGGTGAAACTTCCTGAGTATTTCTGAACAGTGTTTTTGGAGGAGATAAAATCAGAGGCCTTTAAGTAAAGCAGATTGTCTTCCACAATGCCGATGATCTCATCAGTCAGTTGGCCTGAACGGAACAAAGGCTGCCCCAAGGGAAAAGAAGGTCTGCCAGAAGACAGCCTTCGGACACCATTTTATGGATATCTTTCAGTTTAAAAGCATTTTTTTGAAGTTAGAAGTCTGAAATGGACCTGGGGTCAAAGGTTTATTTGACAAGGGCTGTGCCCCAGGTATAAGAGGAAGGGATTCCGCAGGATTTTCTATGAATTAGTCCAGGTCAAAAGAATCTGACAGAAGTAGAGATCACGGGAAGCCCCATTACAATGACCCCAAATCATAAAAAGTCTTACGCCTTCTCTTTAGTGGAACTAGAGAACATTCAAGTTATAGAGCTCCAAGTGAGTAATACATACACTGACCTGTAAATCATAGGAGCCTTGTGACCTTGTCACTGAGATTGCATCAGGAGATATTGTAGCATTATTACAAAATTAATACAATTTTTATGTGCTTTACCTGCTGTCTTCTTTATTTTCTCTTCCAAGATGATTTGTCTCAGGCCCATTTTCATGCCTCAGAACTATAATGATCTCTATGGTGTCAGCTGAGCTCTTGCTTTGGCCCCATGACCCTAAATTCAAAGGCACGAGATCTAGAGCCGGGTTAAGCTTGGCCTGGACCATTCACTCTCAGGAAAACCTTCCAATGAGGGACTTTTGTCAGTATCCCAGAAATTAGACATGGCAGGAAGACAAAGGGTAAAATGGATGTTCTTTACTGTTGAATTATCAGGCCAAAATACATTTCTTTTCCCAGGAGATGTTATTTTGAGATGGGTTTGAAATTCTGAACATGAAGTATGTATTAGAAGATAACAAGTAGTTAATTAGGTGTAGAACAGCATTTCTGGTAAGGGGATGTCCACTCTTCCTAGAGACGCACTCTGAAGTAGGCAGGAGCGAAGTGACATGATGTCTGAGATATGTGTTAATAAGCTTCAGCAAAGATAGAGGAAGGAAACGTGGCAAACACTGCACTTTGTAGACTCTATATGATAGGCATATGAGGTTTTATTATATTATCTTTAACATCATGTATGCTTGAAATTTTTCATGACAAAATATTTAAAACCCTCGCCCTAGCTGGTGTGGCTCCGTGGATTGAGCGCTGATCTGTGAACCAAAGGGTTCCCAGTGTAGGGCACATGCCTGGTTCGCAGGCCAGGTCCCCAGCAGGGGGTGTGCGAAATGCAACCACACATTGATGTTTCTCTCCCTCTCTTTCTCCCTCTCTTCCCCTCTCTAAAAATAAATAAATAAAATCTTTTAAAAAATACTTAAAACTCTACAACAGTGAGTGTTTAGCTATATTTGGTTTGTTCCTAAAAATGAAAAAAAAAGTGACTTACACATGGTCCATCATGCAGTTTAGTTATTTTAAGCCTTTCATATCTGAAAGAAATATTTTAAATGAAAGAAATTATATTTTAAAATGATTATTTTTGCTCTATGATATGTTATGACTAAGTTTCACTTGATAACGAAGTTTTTAGAAGAAAGGAAACGTCCTGCTAATAGTAAATTCTTATTTAATAAATACTTTAAAATATCTACGATATAGGTTGTCACTTGTTAAAGAAATTGAATGTATAAAACATACTAATCCTTAAATATAGAAAATTCAAAATAATCTTGAATAGTTAAGTAGAAATACAGAATATTTCTAGGAGAATGTACATTAAAGTTAAAATATGCCTTTAACAAAAGTTAAGGCATTGCTATGACCTTGAAATAAAAATGATTATAAGGGAATACTGTAAACAATTGTACGTCAATAAATTAGATAGCCTAGATGAAATGGACAAACTCCTAGAAACACACAAATTACCTAATCTTATTCAAGAGGAAACAGAAAATCAACAGACCTATATCAAGAGATTGAATCAGGGGGAAAAAACCCTAACAAAGAATAGCTCAGGATCAGACATCTTCATTAGTAAATTCTAACCAACATTTTAAGGAGATTTAATACCAATCCTTCTCAAACACTTCCAAATAATAGAAGAGGAATAAACACTCCCTAATCTTTCCAGGAAGCTATAATTACCACAATAGCAAAGACAGACCAAAATATCACAGAAAAAGGAAACTACAAATATCCCTTATGAATATGATGCAAAAATTCTCAACTAAATACTAGCAAATCGAAGCCAAACAGGATTGTACACCACAATCAAGCCGGATTTTTTCTAAGAACGCAGGTGATTCAACATAAAAATATCCGCCGGTGTAATAATACCATAGTAATAAAAGGAAGGAGGAAAAAACTCTGTTTTTCTCAACCTGTCCCTGTGCGGGCAGACACCAAGCCTTCACCCCCGGGGCTCTGTTCTGCATTGTGTGAATGGGATCCCTGCTGAGCTTAGGGAAGCCGGGACCCAGAGGCGGAGCAAACAGTGGAGTCCTCTCTGGAGGGGGGAGCTCCCCGGTAGGAAGCATTTTCAGGAGGTCCTTCCTATGTTGGCCCCATTTAGCCTCCTGACTTGAGAAAAGGAAGAAGAAAATGAAGACTTACAGAACTGCAAAGCAGAGATGGCATTCGCTGTTGTAGGTGACATGGTCACTGCCACAGATGGGTTCGCTTGGCTTGATGTAGGAGACGAACCAGCAGTGATTTATATTGTTGGTGCATTTAACCTGAAGGTGAGAGGCACAGACTCTTGCTTTAGATGCTTTCCTCCAGGTCCTCTGACTGTCGTCACTCGGTGGGGGGGGGGGGGGGGTGAAGGCGGGGGATGGGGGGACAAGAGCCCTAGACCAGGAGTTAGGGGCCCAGGCTTCAGAAGCCTAAGAGTTTGACCCCTGGCATTTACCACCAACAATATATAACATTATAATGTAATATAAGACAATATAATGTATTGTAACATAAGATGTAATCCGCAGACCTCCCAGTATGAGCTATAGATTCCTTAGGATAAAAATTCCTCTCCTACCTACCGCAAATTGTGATTGTGAGGTTACAGAGGGGAAAATGTCTTTCAAGGTTAGAGTCTCCTTATGCACGTTACTGAGTGACTTGTGTGTGCCGCTTCAGACAGCAGGGGGCTCACGCTTGCCACCGCAGAGCTAGGATGTAGGAGGAAGGGGACCAAGTGAATGCATTGGCGCGTGGGAGATAGGATGTGTGTCTTCGGACAGCCCAGTGGAATGTCCACTGTAGCACAGGGCAGGCCTGATTTTGAGCCATGATTTCATCATCCATTTAATGATGTAAAATACTTGCTTTCCATCCCACAAGGGAGCCTTATGAACTGACTGGGATAATGAACGGGAAGAGGGCTCAGGAACAGACAGAACGTGCTATGCATAGTTGATGACTTAGTTTTTATGGTGATATTACACCCACGCAGGTCCCCTCAGGCCCCAAACACCCGGAAGAAAGAGCTGGGGCTGTCAGGGAACCTGGTCTCCCCAGTCCCGTCCAGGGAAGCAAGAAAGCAGAGCTCACCTTCGTCTCTTTGAGGCTCGCCCCTTCGCCTGCAGGGAGAGGGAAGTCTGGAAGACAAAAAACGGCATCAGGAGAGTTGCTCCTCTGTCTTCTGTCCCCGGGGAAAATAGCAAGGGCGAGGGAGGCCCTGGCTGGCCCACAGGCAGCTTTGCGTCCCAGCAGAAGGGCTGAAGCAAGCTGCCCTCCGAACAAGGGAAGCACTGGGACACTGCAGCCCTGCTCTCACGTGAGATGGAGATCTTCCTTCCAGCCCTTCCCCTTCACAGGCAACCAACACCTCCTATAACCCTTCTCAGCTGTTTTTAGAAAGCACCCTATCGGTTACAAATTACCATACAATAGTTATATTGAGATATTTTAAAAGATGTTGGGTTTCATTAAGACTTACATATTCTGGATCCAAAAAAATCTTTGCAATTATTCATATATGTGCATATAACAGTTTGTTACATATATTATAGTATATATTATAATCTGATATTGTAATATACAAGAATAACATATCAGCTCTAGACGGGGTGGGCAAAAGTAGGTTTACAGTTGTAATACAAACAGAATACAATAAATAATAAAGAATACAAGAATAAGCCATTTCACATACAACTGTAAACCTACTTCACCTACTCCTGTATATCAGCTTTCTTAAGATATAATTCCCATACCATAGAATTCATTTATTTAAAGAGTACAGGTTCAATGGTTTTTATTAAATTCACAGAGTTGTGCAACCATTACCACAATCAATTTTGTAACATTTTCATTCCAAAAAGAAACCCTGCCCCCGTCAGCAGTCACTCCGCATTCCTCCCTCAACACCCGCCCCCTTTCTCCTCCCCAGCAACCACCAGTTTGCTTTCTTTTCTTTCTGGAATCTTTATATAAATGGAATCACATAATATGTAGTCTTATGTGTTAATCTCCTTTCACTTAACATAATGTTTTAAAGGCTTATCCATGATATATCATGCATCAGCTCTTCGTTCCTTTTTGTAATTCAATGATAGTCCATTATATGTATACATCACATTTTATTTATTCATTAATCAGGTAATGGACCTTTTAGCTGTTCTCACGGTTTGGCTATCATGATGAGCAAAGCCGCTATGAACACTCATGAACGTGTTTTTGCGTGGCCATGTGTTTTCGCTTCCCTTGGGTACATACCTAGCAGTGGAATTGCTGGGTCCTATGGTGACCTTTTGAAGACATATTTTCCAAAGCGGCTGCACCATTTCACATTTCCAACAGCAATGTATGAAGGTTCCAATTTCCTAACATTTTTGCTAACGTGTGTTATTACTTATTTTTTTTATAGTCATCCTAATGGGTAGGAAGTGGTATCTCATTGTGGCCTTGATACATATTTTCCTACTGGCCAATGAGTGCTGTTGAGCATCTTTTCATGTGCTTAGTGGCCATTGTGTATTTTCTCTGGACAAATGTCTATTCAGATATTTGGCCTTTTCTTTTTAAATAGACTATTTTAAGTCTTTTTATTATTGAGTTGTAAGAGCTCTTTATATATATTGGATACTAGTTAACATCAGATATGTGCTTTACAAATAATTTCGCCCATTTTCTGCGTTGTCTTACGACTTTATTGTTATCTTTATTGGTATCACTTGAATCACTAAAATTTTTAATTTTGATGAAGTCCAATTTACCTATTTTTCTTTGTTTCCTTCTGCCTTTGGCACCATATTGAATAAGGCTTTGCCAAGCTTAAGGCCATGAAAACTCATATTTTCTTATAGCTCTATAATTTTACCTGTTACATCCAGTTCTGGATTCATTTTGAGTTAATTTTTGTCTATGACACAAGGAAAGGGTCCACGTTCACTCTTTTGCACGTGGACATCTAGTTGGCCCAGCAGCGTTTGTTGAAAAGACAATTCACCATCAAATTTTTTTGGAATCTTGTTAAAATCAATCCACCCTAAAAGTGAGGTCTTTTTCTTTCTAGATTCTTAGTGCTATTCCATTGATCTCTGTTTCTCCCCTTATGCTAATACTAGACTGTCTAGGTGCCTATAACTCTGCAGTAAGTTCTGCAGCCAGAAGCACGAGCGCTTGCCACATGTTTGCTCTTTTTCAAGATTGTTTTGGCAATCTCAGCCTTTTGCATTTCCATACGAATTTTAGGATCAGATTTTCCATTTCTGCCAAAAAACAAAGTTTATCTCCTATAGATAGTATGTAGTTGGATCTTGGTTTTTTTTAAATTTAGTCTGACAATTTCTATCTTTTGATCAGATTGTGAAATTCACTCACATTTAATGTTTTTATGATATAGTTAGATTTACATCTGGCATTTTACTTTTTGTTTTCTGTATGTCTCCTATCTGTTTGCTTCCCCATTCCTCCTTTGCCGCATTAAGTGAATATAACCTAGTGTAACACTGTAATTCCCGTAATAATTTTTTCACTATCTTTGCTGAATATTTTTAGTAGTGGCATATGGCTTACCAAATACAGCTTATCAGGACATACCTCAGACCTATACTATTTTAATTCAAGTGACATTTAAAAACGTTATTTCTACACAGCCCTATTCCTTCTTCCCTTCTTTCTTTTTCTTTGGTTTCAGTTTCTATATTTGTAACATGAGGAATTAGGGTTAAATAAAACTAGATGGCACTTCCATTTCTAGCTCTAATTTCCCCATGATCCTGCATATACTGCAGAAAATGCAGGCAGAGCAAGGCCGTGTCACTCACCAGCTGCAAAGGCAGCCCACGCGGAGACCGCCAGGACAAGGACAGTGTTCAAGAAGGTCCCCTTCATGGTGGCAGAAGAGCTGTGGGAATAACACAGCTTTTGATAATAGGAAAGAAAACTCCATGCGAGGTACCAGTTCTCACAGCGTTCCCTCATTGATTAAGAGATGAAATTTAAATACTTCAAGTTTGTTCTTTCCTCAAGTGACTTGGAATGGATAGCATCTGGTGAACTTAAATTGCTTAATTCACTTGCTTAGAATGATTAAACACTAGAAAAAAGGATCTCAAAAACAGAATTTTAGAAGATGCGAGAAAGAGAGGTCGTAAAGGACATTTTTAAGGGATCCTTTGACAAAGAATAAGCACCAAAAATTTTTCAATGAAATGTTTAAAAGTTGATATTTATCTCTGAAGGAAGAAGTGCGGTCACTAGAAAGTTTAGTGACACAGTTTAGATCAACAGACAGCAAGAAACAGGAAGGGTCAGAACATCAAACACTCCTATATTCCTAATCTTCCATACGTTATTACTTGGGTGTTAATATTTAGTAACTAATAATATTATTGAAATGAAAAACATGAGTATTTATCAACAGCTTACTTGCATTTTTGAAAATGCCATAGTACAAGTCAATTGGCATTATCTGCAGGTTTCTATACATTTTTTCCATACATTTTCCAGGTAAATTATATATCTAGGTAATTTCTGCCCAAGACTCTCCCTGAGTAAAAACAAATAATAAATAACATAACCCTTTTCCCACTTACAAGTTGTCAAATTAATAAAGCCACTTTACCTGCTGTGACTCCTACAGGTTTTCTGAGTAACTGGCTGGACAAGATATTTTTTTATTTTCGGCTTGTTGGTAATGAAATGACACTGTGTGTAGGGGACAGGGGCAGGGCGTAGTGTCTTTCCAAGGCCCGGCTGCCTGGCAGTGGGAGAGGGAACTTTAAAGTCAGGAACTGTTGACACAACTCAAACCTGTTCTTTCCGACTCCCGGTTGTGTCACAGCCCGTCTTGGAAGTCCCGCCGCGGTTTTCTGAGCCTGGCGCGCACTGGCTGCTACCCCTCCGAAATCTAGTTGCTCTTGCCAAACCCGAACCTACCCTTTTACAGGTGTCATACCCAATTTTTGAGCTCCTACATTTTTATCTCTATTGCAAATATTATATTCCAGGATCGCTTCAGGTATTTACACAATGCTATAAATCGCCACATCCGCAGGTTTCTTAGGGGAGACCTCCCCAATAAGCCAATAGAGTCGCAAGCAGATTAAGCCCAGAGAGCGGGAGCTTAGTGATAAAAGCCAGCGCAGCCAGCGCCTGGCGCAAAGTCCTGGTCGCTGGCGTCTTCTGAAGGTGGGTGGCTTGCGGCGGGGGGGGGGGGGGCGCGGGGGCGGGGGGGTATGTCTCAAGCCAAGTGGCGCTCTAGCTGGATGTGTCCGGTGGGAGCCCCGGGCACCTCCAGCATGACCACGGTACAGCCAAGTTCCAGCAGTTGGTGGTCAGAACTCTGTGATTGTAACCCACAACGGGTGGAAGTCCCACTCATAAAAATGTCCAGATGAAGTCCTTACCCGAGCATCCCAACCTGTGGTTTAGGGTGTTTCCGCCCCTCCCAAGGGTGTTACACCCTGTTACCTGAGTCTCGGCCTAGCGCTCGACATAACTGTCATGGCTGACAGTGACTCCATATTGGATTCCCCGAAGCGTTCAAAAGGCCTCTCTGCTCTTGCCCTGAACACGCAGGGTCAGGGTCCGCTCCACTGGGCGCGGACTTCCCTCGTCTCCAGCGGCCAGCAGGGCCTGGCTCTGCCGCAGGGCCCACAGTCCGCGGCCGGAGCAGGGCGCCCGCCGCTACCCCCACCCCGCCTGCTGCCACCAGGCCGAGGTGGTCCGCGGAGGGGCCTGGAGCCCTCGAGGTGGGCCCCCTTCTCCGAACCGAGGGCTGGGAAACACTATCCTGCCCCTCCCCCCAGCTCTGCTCCGGGCTTTCATCCCCGACCTTCGCAGCTCCAGGTCCCCCAACCCCCATCTTGAGTCCTGCTAAATTCTTCCCAGAGCTAAAGCCAAACTCTGCTCCCTCACGTCTTCACGGCGTTATCTCAGGCAAGTTCGTGGCCTCTCTGGGCCTTGGATTACCCGTGTGAAAACGGCGGACACCAAAGCACCAGCCGCGGGCCAGGGCGCGGGGGCGGCGCCCGCGGTTCCCCCTGCCAGGTGCTCTTCCAGGCTGTCGGCAGGGCCAGTGCCTTCCCCAGCACTGCGGTGGGAAGGGCACGGCCCTCCGAAGGTTTGGCTCCTGGCTGAATCATGTGCCTGGCTAGCAGGTCTGTGGGAAGAGGCGCTGCACCCTCCAACCCTCCCCCCACGCCCCGCATCCCTAAAACCAACCCAAACAGATGGTTGCCAGGTCGACTCTTCTGGACACTGGCCCCTGGGGAGGGCTAGGTGAGGTCAGGCAGGAGGCGCCAGATTTGTCACAGGCCCACAGGCTGGAGGCCAAGGTAGACAAGATGACATTTAGATAGCAGAGACATTGGCTTCCTCCCCAGCGAGCCTCCGTCCACCCCTGCCTGCAGCCTCCTGGCCGCTCCCCCTCTCGGTGCGGGTCAAGCCTCTGTCAGTCCCAGCGAGGCACAGCTGAGGCCAGCTTCCCCGAGCTGGACGCAGGGCCCCAAAGAGGAGCGCCTTCCACTCCCTGCACCTGAGAGCCTGGGGCACCCCTGCCTGCGCCCTGGAGCCAGGGGATCCCCTAGGCTGCACCCAAAATCCAGGGTGCCCCTTACCCCCTCCCCTGTCCCCCCAAGGAGTGGGCTCCACGCCTCCATGGCCCAGGCTCCCTGCTTCTCCCACCACCCCTCCACCCACCCTGCCACCCCCATTGTTCACCCCTCAGAAGAGGGTGGGTCCAGGTTTTGGAGTGTGAAGCTTACACAATATGGAGCTAAGTTAAAGAAAAAGAGTGCAAAGAAACAAATACCAAATTACTTAAGAAGTCCACAGCTCTGGCTACCAGGAAAGGCCACAGCATGGGCGTGTCCCCTCCTGCCTGCCTGGCTGCTACAGAGGGGCCCCGTGCTCTGTGCTGGGGAGACCCCAGCCTAGAGAAAGAACAGTGGCTGGCACTTGGGGAGCCAGGCAGGTTACCAAGCCCCTGCAGTGCATTGCCTGGTTCATGTCCTGCAGTGACGCTGAGCAACTTATTCACAGACATGTCCCTGGCACACTGCTGAGCCATGGCTCCTGAATGCACTAGCAGGCAGCCCTCAGTTCTGGAAGCCTTGGGAGAACCCAGCCATGCCTCCATCTGGGTGCTCCAGTCCCGGGCGAGGGGCAAGAACAGGGTTGGCAAGTCACCCTCAAGGGCCCCCACTTAGACCACAGGCCCAGAGCTCCTGAGGTCCGGGTGGTGGGCAAGGACCCGCGGGGCTGCTTCGGGTGAGGGAGGACCGCTCCCTCCAGCTGTGCGGAACAGCTGAGGGGTGCGGTTCTGTCGTAGTGGCTCACGCTGTGTTTTGATTCCCAAAACGTGTTCCTTCTAAGAAGTCACACCTGGTAGTCACGGAATCCTCAGAGACGTGCTGTCAGCCCGCCTGGCCTGCGGCAGAAGGGAGGTCAAGATCAGAGGCCGTGGGTGGTGGGCAGACACGCTAATGACACCGCGGGGGCGGGGGACGGGGGGACCAGGGGTTGTTCTCCGAGGACAGCCAGGGTCCTGCCACTGGCCCTGGGGCCACTGCCCACAGCCCCGGCCAGCTGGAGTCCCTGTGCGCCACCCCATGTGTGTGGTGTGGGGACTCATAGAATCTTAAAGAAGAAAGTTACCTTCTACAGAATCTGCCAAGCTCAGTTTTATCTGGTAGAGTGGAAGAATTTTAGGATGGAATGCTCATTCCCTTAAATGGTACCTCTTTCTACCACTTGGAACAAAAAGTCCCTCAAAACATCAGCTCCCTTTAAAGGGAAACTTCAGAGGTTATTGGGTGACATAAATTCAGGTCCCAGTCCTGAACGAACGGCCTTAACTAGGGACATAACGTCTAGTTCTGAGAAGTCAATGTACTTTCTCAGAACAGCCCTGATCAACGAGTATCTATGTGACAGTTTTTAGAAGTGTCGCTTTTCATCCCTCTGAATGTGGTGCCCACTCACAGTATTTTTAAAGTGCCATGTAAAATTCTTCATCGTAAATTTAAATATTTACAAATAATTGAGTTACTGGCTTATTCTCTGCTGAGTTAACCTCTCCGTGTGCCTCTCCCTGACTCAAGGCATGATTTCTTCCATTCCTCCAAGCCCTTCTCTTGCTTTATACATCTCTCTTTCAGTGAACTCTGTGAAAATTTAGGGATGCGTTCATTTACTTGTTTAGTGTTCGTTTCCTCCACGAGATGAGACAGCAAACTCTCTGAAGGTCAGGCACTGTCTTGTTGCTACTGTTCTGGGCTTCCTCTCTCAAGGTTTGAAATTGGGACCAAGAGCTCGGTGATCTATAGGTGACCCATGATCACAGCGGAGGAGACATGGATTAATTCTTACCGCTCTGGAACATGTTCCAATTGCCCTACATCCTTACCCCAACCCTCACATATTTGATTTGTGCTACACTTACAGGTTTGTCAAAACCTGTAAGATCTCTTTAAGATGGGTTTCATCCCACTTGCCCTTTCATTTGCCTATCTAAGCAACTGGGGAAAAGCCAAGAAGGAAGGACAGGGCTGGCCTGGGGCTGTTTTCAGGCAACTTAGTTAGTGCTGCCTGACTTTTTTCATATGAGTCAAAAAGTCGAGAACTTACTTTGCTTATTAAACTGCAAAAAAGTAGCCAGGACAGGCCTTGGCCAGGTAGCTCAGTTGGTTGGAGCACTGTCCCATTACGCTGGGGTTACAGGTTTGATCCCTGGTCAGGGCACAGGCATGCAAGTATATGGGTAGAACAACAAATTGATGTTTCTCCCTCTCTCTTTCTTTCCCTTCCTCTCTCTCTTGAAAATCAATTTTTTAAAAAAAGTAACCCAGACGGCCTTGGCTACTGTGGATTGAGTTCTAGCCCGCAAACCGAAAGACTGCTGGTTCGATTCCCAGTCAGGGTACATGCCTGGGTTGCAGGCCAGATCCCCAGCTGGGGGCATATGAGAGGCGACTGATCCATGTATCTCTCACACATCAATGTTTCTTTCTCTCTTTCTCCTTTCCCCTCTCTCTAAAAGGAAATAAATAAAATCTTTTTAAAAAAATGTAACCAGGATGGATTAAAGAGAGCTGAAGAAAACTTTTATTTGTTGAATGCTACCTCTGGAATAGGCAGGGTATCATAAATGGTATGTATTATAGATATATTCAAAATACTGTTTTAAATAAAATTTCACATCATTCATGAAATTGTTACCATAATTTAATGTTTTAATGAAACAATCACATTAATTCCCAAAATATCGATCACTGAGAATCAAGAGTGTCAGTCCTTTTAAGGTTGCTGAAATGTTACCTCATCCAGGACACTCATCTGACCTGTGAAAAAACCGAGACCCAAATGAGAAAGACACTGGAAATGTGATATTAGGATTCATTTTCCCTCGCAGGTGGCCAGGTTCCCATGAACCACAGTAAGTGGTCTTACTAACTTGTTTTCACATGGTGTGGCGAGCTCCCCAGGTTAGGGCTTAGGGGCATGCCAGCCGCGCTCCGGAGCCTCGCCCATGCAGACAAAGGTAAGAATCGTCCGTTCTTATGCCTTCATGTGCAGATACTTAGAATACATGGGAAAAACTTTAACCTGCTCTGTTAGAAACAGGACATTGATAGAGGACTATGTAGCTATCCAATATTTAATGTTCTCAGTTGTAGTCATTTCAACCATTTTAGTAGGTATGCAGAGGTATCTCCTTGTGGTTTTTGTTTTTCAAAAACTATATATATTGAGAGC